CACCCCTTGTGGCAAAGCGTGCCGCCTTCATACACGATATCCCTTGTTGCCAACCATCCAGCTACATGTCTGATAATCCGAAAACCTAAAATGCTGGACACTAAAGCGGGAGGTGCTCAGGGCGGGACTTGAGCCATGATCAAACGCCAGCGTGTCCCAATGAGGAGAACTAACAGGTTTAACAGGATGGAAAAAAAGGGGGCGCCCATGGCTGGCAAAAGGGTCCGCCTGGCTGATGGAGGCCGTCAGCATCCTGGCGAGCTTCTTTGGCGCACTTAAAGTCTCTGGGAGAAAGGCTCAAACCAAGCCCGGCACAACAAAGCAAGTACTTTCTAGCTGCTCACATACCTGCCTTCATGTAACAACTGCTTTCCTGCCTGCCCACGGCCTGGAAAGGGCCCGCCAGCTTGCAAATCCTGTCGCAAAATGTCTATTTGATGTCTGCTCATGGTGCGCAAGAAGCAAACAAAACAAAGGCTACGTGCAGCCTGCACAGGGCTTGCAACTTGCAACTGTTGATGGTTTCCGAACAGTCAATCAACAAGGTCCCAGCCAATATACCCGTTCAAGAGGCAACGTCGTCCTGCGATCGGAATGCTGCCACAGGAGCCTGTGGTCAACAATTGCTCACTTGCAAACAACTGCTTTCTGCTTGGCGGCCAAATCACCCCAACTCTTGCTTGAAACTGAACTGGCCACACACACGCAGGCACACCCACACACAAGTTACTCACAAGCAGCGGCGAGCTGAATCTTCCTGTCAACTCTGCGAAACATAGCGCCCATGACCAGGCTTCACTACTTTCCTGCCTGCCCACGGTCTGCAGGAAAGGGCCCACCATGCCCACGAGCTTGCAAATCCTGTCATAGTCTGGCTGACTGGTCCGCATGAAGCAAAGCAAATCGCAGGCGCGATGCTTGCAACTTTCAAATTGAATGCGGATGGGGATCAAGACTGTGCGGTCAATAAGGTCTCAGCAAACATGGAAAAGTAAACATGATCCACCCCAACAGTAACACCATCCTACGATCGGAATGCTGCCACAGGAGCTAGTGATCAAGGCCATTCCGAACAGCAAGTGCAGAAAACACTGTCAGTGGCTCTCCATGTGGCGAGCAAATGATCCTCTCTCCTGCTTGAAACCACCTCACACGTAAGCCTTCAATACCTCAAGTGCCAAGCCACACAACAAAGCGCAGGGCAGGATGCCACATAAGCCCTGTTCACAAGCGGCAAACTCACACACACAGTTCTTCTCCGAAGCATTTGCAGTTTGCACAGCAAGCAGCAACTTCCCATCAATGCTGAAAAATAACGCACCGGTGCCCATGTTTCACTGCTTTCCTGCCTGCCCACGGCCTGGAAAGGGCCCGCCCGCTTGCCAATCCTGTCGCAAAATGTCTAGTTGATGTCTGCTCATGGTGCGCAAGAAGCAAACAAAACGAGGGCTACGTGCAGCCCTGTGCGCGATCGGAATGCCACGGGAGCCTGTGGTCAACTGCTCAGTGCACAAAACCCATTCAGTGGCCAATGTAGCGGCCAATTCACCACATTGCTTGCCTGAAACTGAACTGGTTAGGATGGAAAAAAGGGGATCGCTATCTTTCCCATTTCAATTTAAAACACCACCCCAAAAGGAAACACACTTTAAATTGGCCCAAAGGTGATGTTTGAAACCTGCGATAAGGAAAAGTCCAAGCTGCTCACAAGCAACAAGCTGCAGCTCATCAACTTTGCAACGAGGCAGTGGTTTCCTGCCTGTCCGTCTGGACGGTCTGCTGGAGAGGCCCCAGCTCTCGTATCCTGTCAAACACAGTCTGGCTGGTTATTTGGAAAGATACCTTCCCAACCTTGCCAACAACAAATTTATGGAATCATTTTTCCTGGGAGACGATTTTCCTTTGACCAGGATCTCACGACCCTCTATATAATATAGTGATAGTGGACAGCAAGGTTGTGTTGGTTATGCAGTTGTGCACAACTGCACACGGCTTGGCGGCTGCCACAAAAATCCAAGAGTGGCTAGTTGCTTCAAGGCGGCAGAAGCAAAACGGCATCGTGCTTCTGGTTGATACCTATCCTTAAATTACAGCGGGAAAGCAACTGGCGCAAAACAAGTTGAAAGCAGATGCAAGCGGACAACTGGGGCACAAAAGACTCAATGCCCCTGCAAAGAGTCACATGTTTCGACTGTTCAAAGGGCAATTGAAATAGGCAATGTCTTCATGAACACTCTCGAAGCACCACGCAAGTTGTCAGCCAGTCGCTTTCTTGCGGCGAAGTGGGGTGCAGTACATCCGCAGGGTGCGACTGTTGACGCTGGCTCCAGCACCAAAGGGGTTGCCAAAATTAGGGGCCCCTTTTTTTGGTATCCCCTTCAAAAGGCGTCACAGCCACCAGGGTCCAAAAAGAGGTCCCATTTTTCGACCCCCTTTTTTCCCCGGCCTCCCACATTGGACGCAAAAGCTTGCTCCAAATGTCCGAGCACAACTCAAAGGTTCTTAGTAAAAGGCAACCAATGGAAAACAAGCCAATATCATACTCTGATCATCTTCTGGCTCAGAGCAACCTTGCAAATGACTACGTTCTGTTCATCTTTCCCTCAAGAGAACACAAAGGTTCAATGGACTGCGAAGTTAAGCTTTCATAGCAAGCCAGTTGCCGGATTGTCGAGTCGAGTTCCTGATTGAAGCACTCATTCCTGCATTCCGCCCAGCAGGGATGCAGGCTGTGGGACATATTCGTCACCGAAACACTATCAACAAACATATTTCTACCCTCTGTATGGTCCCTACTCCAGGCAAGCTTGGCTTCCAACATTACCCCAAACACCGACCTACAGCGTGTCCGAAAATGGGGACCTCCCTTAGGCTAAGGAAACCCCACCAGGCAAACCCATTCCTCCCAAAGAACCTGGAGAGGGCAAACCCGGGACGACTCAAAATGGTTGCCACAGCCAAAAGAGCAAGTCATTTGCGGCCAACAAACCTTGGCCCGAACCATCTTCCGGCCTGGACGAGAGGAGGAGCCGTGTGGCGGCGCACCTGTGAAGGGAGATTCGCACGCTCAGCTCTTGCTCCAAATGTTTGATTCTCCACATTTGGTCTGGCCAGTAGTGAACCTAAACGTGTAGAATAAATTCAAAAGAGATCCAACGGAACAAACGGGCAACGGAGGGTCCCTTACTTCTTCTGCCTTCCGCTTTTTCGGGAGACAAGAGTGCCATGCCTCACGGAATGCTGCAGTAGAAAGGTCATGCAACTTTTTCAAAATCGCAGTCCTTAAAGGATTACTCGGCAGAGTCTGTCACGGCACGGAGCGACTCATTTGAAGTCAAATACGAGTCACAGGCCCGAAATGGACTGACCAAATGACAAGGCCATTTTGCACAAAACGGCACTGAAATGAGGTTCAAAGCTGCTCTTTATTTTGTCAGCCTCCATCTGGCGATTGTTTTCAATATGGAAGACCCTTAGACAATTGTTGGCGGACATAACACCGTCCAAAAGGGGTCCCTAATCTTCTGAAACAGAAGGATCTTACGGATGCCAACGCAAACACGTGGATTCCCATGTGAAAAAATGCTCTCTTTTTTAGGGGATGGTTGACTTTAAAGGGAAACTCCAACAAAGAACGATCCCAACGAGCTCCACTGGACCTCTGGGCCAATGAATCACATCTTCCGTGCCTCGTCTGGCTTCGCGCTTTTGGCCTGACGAGTGCGGCCAAGCAGGCGGTGCCGGGCAAGGGCAAGTCTAGGTGGCCATGGGTCAAAACCCAAATCGTACCCCCAGTGAACATCCCAATCCCCACTAAAATCCGCCGACCCTCTGCCTCCCGTCCCAGCCTCGATAGTCCTGGGGGACACGCCCGAACGCACGAAAAGTGGATTTCTAGGACCGGTCCGGGACCGGTCGCGGACCGGTTCTGGGACCAGTCCTGGGACCGGTCCTGGACCGGTCCTGGGACCGGTCCTGGGACCCTGGTTCTGCTGTTCCAGATTACTTGTAGTCAGCCAAAACCAGGACCGGTCCTGGGACCAGTCCTGGTCCTGGGACAGTTCGGTCCCAGCACCTGTCCTGGGACCGGTCCTGGGACCGGTCCTGGGACTGTCCCCGCCAGGACCGCTTTCAGGACTGAAGTCGGTCCCGGGATGGAGTCCTGTGACCGCTGGTATCGCTGTGGTGCCACCTCAAACCGCTCCAGACGCCTTTCCGGACTGGCCTTGTTTCTAGGACCAGCTCAACGTGACTTGGGCGCAAACCGGCCCGTGCGGTTATTGACGGACGAGCTGCCATCTGTCTGACTTTTCCGTTAATCCTTGTGGTAGTAGAGGATTCCTGGATCTATTCTGCGAGAGAGTCCAATACGTCGAGTCAAACCGCGCCAGACTGGGACCAGCCTGTCCCGGTCCCTGCCGGCGACCGGTCCAGGGCAACTTCGGGAGGGCCAGCTTCAGGGCGACCCCGCGAGAGGCGACTGCTCCCGGGCCAACTCGAAGTGACTTGGGCGCAAGCCGGCCCAAGCGGTAATTAACGGACTAGCTGCCATATTTCTGACTTTTCCGTTAATCCTTGTTTGTGGTCGTAGAGGATCTTATAAGTGGTCCCTGGGTTTGCGGACGTGTTTCAGGACCGGTCCTTGTGACTTTTCCCTTAATGCGCCGAGGGTCGGCGGCAGCAGGCGGGAGCCTGGTTAATAGACTAAACGGGTGGTGCACCTATCCCAAAATGGTACCATTGGTTTTGAACCATATCCGGGTGATACCGCGGATGGACGAAATGCTGGGATTCTTGGGTGATGCCGGAGTTCCTTCATCCCCAGTATTATATCATGATACAACTTGGCCCAAAACCGGTGTGCCAACAAAACAGATTCTGGTTGGTACGTAGTGGTCTTCCCGGCTACCCTAAACTAGTATGGCCAGGCCTTCATAACAGGCTTACAAAAGGTACCTGTCCTGGAGGTGCACTGAAAAGCAGTCTTCGGGGTGGCATCAAAAGGAAAACCAAATCAAACCGCTACCACAATCAAAGGGCAAACCCAGGGGGACCTCAATCGATTGCAGGCCCTTGACACCTGGCGTATTCCAACGGAATCCTACGGAATATCCAGACCTCGCATGGCCTTGTGAAGCGCCAGTTAGTCAATTTTGTCCAGGAGCATGTTGCATACCTTGCATGACATAAGTAATGGCGCAAGTTGCAACGCTCCAATCTTTCACAAACCGGCCACACCTAAAAAGCAATAACAAGTGGCTTTCGCTCGCCTACATGGGTATGGGTCAAAACTAATCCACCAGGCGACCGCATTGTTTAGTCTTTCTATGTAGACTTATTAGGGTTTCATTTCGGGTGACATTTCTTTCCCACACCCATATTAGGCCATGGGTCAACATCCCGCACCCCCAGTGAACATCCCAATCCCCACTAAAATAGATTAAAATTGGTGGTGCACCTACCCCAAAATGGTACCAATTGGTTTTGGCCCACAGCCATATAGATACGTTCCGACGTTTGTCAAGCCGAGGCTTCCGTACTGTTTTGCAAGGCCTTCGCTTCCGGCACGGCGCTGGGTTGTAGCACCTGAGTTCAGACTGATCACTGGCTGTCTGGGGAAAAACACGTCCTCCACCACTTTCTTGCTTGGGACATTTCAAGGTGTGGCTCATGTAGCACCCAGCTGAAATGCTGAAGGGGAGAGGGCGGGGAGAGGGCGTAGCAGTGAAGCATCGACTTGACTTAGATTGCAACTCTGGTTCCTTCTTAGCTTCCTGAAGTCTTTGGGAGCACCCAAAGAACATTTTGTTGTTTTCCTTCCGGAGGGCTTAACTTAACTGACCCCAAGGCACCAATAGGCTTGGGACAAGTGATTTATGAATGAATTAATTGGATGGATGAATAGATGGAGGGAGGGAGGGAGAGAGGAAGGGAGTGAGCAAGCAAGCAAGCGAGTAAGTTGTTGATTTATTGATTGATTGACTGATTGATTGATTGATTGATTGACTGACTGATTGATTGACTGACTGACTGACTGATTGATTGATCGATTGATTAGATTGACTGATTGACTGATTGACTGACTGATTGATTGAATAATTGATTGATTGTTTGATTGATTGGTTGACTGATTGACTGATTGATTGACCAATCGATCAATCGATCGACCCCACCAGTCTTCCGTCTGTCCAACACTGGACCCGGGGGGAAATCTTTAAACCTTTTGATGTACCAGAGTTTGCATCGTTGCGTGGTCTAGTTAGTGGGGTGTTACCTCAGCTATGGTCTGGCAAAGCTGCGGACTGCCGTGTTTTCCGCGCAGATCACTTAAGTCAAAATAAGGAAGATCGTCTGGAACCTTCATACCCCCGAATCGGTGAGCTTGGTACAACTCCAGAACACATCTACCCTCCCACTCACTAACATGTACCTGACTGGAGGTCGTTTCCTCTGATCGGGACGCTGTGGTGGGATTCTCATATCCCTCCTTCGTGACCTCTTTAGAAAATGGGAGCCCCTTTCGGCGCTGAGGTTAGAATAAGTTGGTACCCGATTGTTTTTTTTTTTTTTTCAGTTTTGTCTATTTTAGTAGGGGAACCCTCCCTCCCAAAAAAGAAACGGTAAAGTTGGCACAAATTGCTGGGAGACCGAGCCAAACCAAACCAAATTGACGCGGGGAGCCTGGTTGCTCCGCGCCGCCACGGTGGCCGAGAATGCGGGCGGCCTCGCCTCCTAACGGAAAAGCCGCGGCTCTGGGCCGTTTTGGGGCGTCGTTTTTGACGGGTTACCGTGTTTTTGGAGGTTTTAAAGGGACAGCTTACTACAGGACACCATCCATTTTGAGGGTTTCCTAAAACAAAACAAGAAGAAGTGAAAACTGACTGGAACCAAAAAACGAGGCGTGTCACGCGTCGGTTTCCGTCAAAAAGCCAAAAAGGGCACCACCAAGAAACCTGGAGGTGAACAGGGCCACTTTTTCGAAAGGAAAGCAGTGATCCAAACTGCTTCCATGTTTGGGTGTGGTTGTTTGAGGGTAGCCTAACTTTCCATCCGAGCAGCTCCCCCCCCATTTTTGACACACATCGGTTCCGAGGCGACCCGCATTGGATCTCCATGGGAAAATTAGGGCTCTTTTGTTTGGGTAGCTGATTCTATAGGGCACCCCTCCCAGACACTCACTTCCTGAGTGCATGGGTCAAAACAAGTCCAATGCTTTGTTTAACCACTAAAACGGTTCTCCCAAGTTTGAAGTCCAGGAACTCAGGCAGTGAGGAAAAAGGATAAAGGCGAAGAACACACCCACCCGACCTCCAGCAGTGCCCCCGGCGCAGGCTGCACGGCAGCGGCGGCCACAGCGGCCGCCTCCTGACGACTGGCTGAAATTTGGCCATGGGTCAAAATCCAAATCGTACCCACGGTGAACATCCCAATCTCCACTAAAATCCCGACTAAAACGGGTGGTGCTTTTACCCCACAATGGGATCCCATTGGTTTTGCCCCACAGCCATTTTTGCTTCTTGGTTCAGCGCTCATACTGTGGATGGCTTCGCGCAATCCAGAAATCGCACCGTTCAGAAACCCTTCTGATTCCCCAAGGTAAATGCCAATCAACGTCATGGTTTCAACCATGGTTTCAAACTGGTGCGAAATGGATTTCGTCTATCCACAGTGTCCCAAGGCAAGCAAGAAAGGGTCACTTCTCAGGATTTCCCGAACCGCTCCCAGCTGGGCGGGGGTTGTCAAACAAAGGACCCCCAAAACGAGCCGGGTGCCACCGTATTTCGCCGCCCTGCAAATGGGAGACCAAAGAGGCCCCCAATGTTGACAAATCCCGAGTTACCCGTGTTTGCCTGTGGAAATCAGCGCGCTTGGAAATGCATGCCCAGTTGCAACATGTCAACTAAATTAACTACATCACACCAAATAAGTCCGACGATACATGGGTGACCCATTTACCAAAAGTTTTCCCTCCCCCCAAAAAGGAGCCCAGGGCTTTGGATGCTTTCTCCGTGCTGTTTCACGAGTGTTCCCATTTGAACAATCAAAACTCGTTTTTTTAGTGGTCTACCCAGAACCAAGTAAAGAATTAAGAGGCGGAATTCCGCAACTATTTCTGGCTGGGACTGCCCCTTGCTAACCTTCATCTACCCTGGTTTTGATTGTGACTCATTTTGCCCCTTTTTTGACTGCCTTTAACCACCAAAGGACTCGCATGCAAATAGCATCTGGCGAACATGGCCTGCGCTTCCGCGAGCTTCTTCAGGGTTGACTCCTGGGAATTGCTGGCGAGTCCCATGCCGGGGTTGGTTTGGTGGCTTAGCGTGAGGGACATTTGTGTTTATCCTACTGTGGATGGACGAAATCCTGCACCACCTAAGCCCTGGAATGGTCCGATTCCCTGTAAGTACCAACAAACAGTGGCTTCCCGTGGTTTCTTAGGTGGTGCAGGATTTTGTCCAGCCACAGCATTGACTTCCTTTTGACTTCAAAGTGTTCTCTCCCCGAGCTCTGGTTCGGATTTCAGGGGGGGTTTTGGGGCGGAAACAAGAGGACCCCTTCACTGAGCACGGACGACTATGGCAACCTAAAGCGGATCGCTCGCAACCTCTGGGGTTGCTCCGAAATCGCTTTTGAAGGGCGGGAGATTGGCGAGGAACGCGAACCCAACGAAAACCAAACGAATTGTCCATCCTTAAGGCAGGTTGCCCCTGGTAAAGGGAAACCAAAGGAAACCAAACCAAACAGACTTTGTTCGCCCCTCCTTCAGGGACCAGCGGCTACTGGACAATTCGATCAAACCTATCAACAGCACGCCGAGAAACAAGGTTGTAGGCCGCTCCAATTGCTTCTCTTTCGCCAGCATGTGCTCTTCTTTGCGCGTCCTAGGCGATGGCTCGGCTTCCAAATACCCCCAAACCAAACTGTGTGTTGTCCTATGTGGTTTTTCTTTCAGCCGCCCTAAATAGAGTTCCCTCAAAATGACATGCATTCAGCTACTCAACGGCTTAGGATGGGGCGGTGGGTCAACCGTCTTCTTGGCTGATTGTGGGAACGAAACCGCAACCCACACGCCCAACTAATCCAGGATACTGACATCAAGCACATGCCGGGTTGCGAGATCGTGCAAGCACTCTCAGAAAGTTGTGAACTTAATGTCGTGGGAGTTGGGGGGGTTCAATGTTTGGGGAGTGTGACAGTCCGGCCGCAATTGGGTCTCAGTACGCAAAGGTTTAAAAAAACAAACAAAAACAGACTCCCAAAGTGTCAGCTCCATCCAACAAGAGAAACCCTGAACCGAAGACATATTTCCCACAACCATGCAGACAGTATGAAGTACAATCAGTTCTCACCACTTGCCCTACAGGTTTGCTCCCAAATAGAGCATGGAACCCCCAGAATGGTGAGTTTCTGTTCCAAAACAAGTGCCCAGACACACCTATGGGGAATAGGCTTGTGCAAACGCAAAAGGATTCTGATTCTTTTGGCGAAAACACACATCAAATGAGCTGGAACAAAAAGCTCGTATTGCAAACTCTTATCCCAAGTTGTGTTCATTGCAAATCCAAGCGGCGGTCTTCATAAGCATGAGGTCCCCCAATAGCATGCCCCTTTAAGTGTATGAGGTCTCATGTTTATACACCGCTGCAAATTATCTGCTAACAAATTCACTCGGCAAAATTGCTGGGATCTGAAGGAAACAAAAGAAAATGGATGCTGATGATGCTGATGATGCTGATGATGATGATGATGATGATGATGATGAATCACTGTGTCACTTGCGCTTCACTTGCGCTTTACTTGCGCTTTACTTGCGCAGCCCCATGTTTGACTTGCGCGGCCGCTCCTGCAACACACTCCTTCAAATTCCAAGCGTCGGCGCAGCTAATTAGATGGGTCCAAAACCACTGGGAGCATGCCTTACATTGACACAAACGGGTTCTATTTTTTTCCGACTCAAATGCAAACACAGACATGACACGCGTTCGCGTTCTCCCTGAAAAGCAGTCGATTGGGATCCCAAAGCCCGGGGGAAGCATCCCGATGCCGGTCCCGCCGAGAGACCTGCTATGTTTGCATCTGTATCGGAAGTTGCCCAGCTCCGTGCACACGGTGTCGCAGGACTCCCCAATAGAACTGCCACTGGTAGTTTTCCCAGAAGAAATATGGCCATGGGTCAAAAGCCCGTACCCCCAGTGAACATCCCAATCGACTAAAATGGGTGGTGCACCTGTACCATTGGTTTTGACCCACAGCCATATTACCAGACCCCTGAATTGTCCAGGATTGTCCGCCCGCATGGCAACTGTAGGCAAAAAAACATGGAGGCGACTGGCTTGACACAAACCACTTCGACGGGCCTCGGGCTGGATGTTCCCCTCGTGTTTCCACTTAGACTCGACTTAAGTGTTGGTTTACGAGGCACCCCTGTCTGAGGATGCGAAAGCCAAACGGCCACTATCCATTTCTGCTTAGTCGGGATGTGTTGGTAATCCCTCTAAACTCTATACTACACGTCCAAGGATATGTCGAGGAGCCACCATTTTTAGATACGCCCTTTGAAACACAACCTTGTTTGGGACGCACGCAAGCAAACTCGTCTTTTCGGACCGCGGCTATCTGAGCGCCCAGCTCCATAGACGCTTTCACAACCGACTTGTACGGCATGGTGGGACCTTTGCTGCCTGGCCACTCAACCCCCGGCACAAGGGCAAACATTTGGTCCCGGATAAAACCAAACCAAAGGAAGCGAACGGAAGCTAAGGGAAACCAAAGGAACCAACGGAACCTCAAGCAAACCGAGGAAACCAAGGAAAACCAAAGACATCAGATGGTCAGTTGCCCAGAAAAAGGTTGCCGGCTGGACCAAGGAGCAGCCACGTGTCGTGACTGTGAGGTTGAGGGTGCCCTTCCCAGGCTTGACTTGAAAGGCAGCAAACACCACAGCCAAGGTGCTCCAACCCGATCGGGGGCAAACATAAACTTGCCAAGTGGGTCTGTGTCAAAACAGGGCAAACCCACAAATCGGTGCTTTCTTCTTTGTCTCCCTCCAAGCCAATCAAAAATCCACACCCTGCTACACTACGTGCATTTCGGGAAGGGAGGGCATGCCTATTTGTCGGGTTTCGCGCCCAACAGGCTTGACCTCCGACCCGTTCCCACGCCTAGAGGGCCAACCGGCACCGCTCCGCCGCGCATGGCGGCGCCGGAGCCGCCTCCGGCGACGCCTCCGGCGACGCCTCCGGCGACGCCCACGGTGCCCACGGCACCCTCCATCTCCTCCATGAGCATCTCTCGCTCCTGGCGGTTTCAGGCTGGCTGCGGCAAGCTGATTCAAGTTAGTTCAGGTTGCTGAATGGGCCGTGGGTCGCGTGGAGTTTAGGTTGTTAGCTTGTGGCATCGGGTGTTCAGGTTAGTTTCGGGGCAGAAACCCCAGCCTGTTCATGAACTGGGCTGATTCATCCTGGCGATGGTGAGGTTGGCTTAAGGTTGGTTGAGGATTGGCTTTAAGCGATTTAGGGCTGGCTTAGGGTTGGTTCAATGTCGGTTTAGGGTTGGTGTAGTTTTTCAATAGTCCAGCAAGCAAAAGCTCGAAACCTGTTTGGCATTTTCCCTCCCTCCCTCCCATCTCTCGGGGGTTAAACCTTGATACCAAAATGTTTCATTCCCAGCCCCCATGACTTGATCACATAGCTTGGCCTCCACAGAAGCGGCATATGTCACGCATCAGTTGCGACTGGTGGGATGTGGCAAAACCTGTTGGGCAGAAACCATGTGAGCGCCACACACACACACACACAGTCACACCTGGCTGACGTGTATCATTGCACCCACCAAAATGAACCCAAAAAACAAAAACAAGTAAGCAAGGAACCTTTCTGCATGGAAATCAATGGCCGGAGGAAACTAGTCATATACGCATCTATGGCCAGGTTGGACCCTGTGGTGGCTTGTTTGTAATAATCCAGACATACTTAATGCTTGTATGCTTGGCCCATGGACAAGGGGTTTAGGCCACGTGTCATGCTATGTTGGCACATGCAAAATGTGCCTCTTGGTGAGGTCGCCACAATCCAGCAATCTACCATGGCGGACGCCTACCAATTTGACTCATCGTCACTCATTCTCACTTCAAGTATCTTCAAGTCATTCTTGCCCTAGCTTCAAACATCACCGAATGACTCTTTGCACCGATTTAGCAATCACTGAACAAACTTCTCGAATCATAGCTTCAGCATCAGGTTACATAGTGCACAAACCTCGAATCGATTGAAAGGCTTTCTTGCTGACACGTCGGTTCAGGATCTCCTTCTCGATTCGTTCTCGCTCCTTCTCCAAAGCTTGCTCCATCCTGCGCCCAGAGCCCCAAACCATGCAAAGCCAAGGAACAGAGCGACCCTGTTGATCTTCAAGGAAAGGCCCTCCAAAAGCGGTGGTACTTGAATTTAATGGGACATCCCCAAACGACCGCACTGGAGGTTTGGGCAAATCTGATCTGCTCCAGAGCTGAGGCTCCCAACTTGATCCGCTTGGATTCCAGCCGCTCGATTTCCTGCGAGCGCGACTGCGTGGCTTGTGGGGTTCAACTCAACCGTTTGGGGTACAATATTGTTCTGGGCGAACCAAAAATGGGCTCCAACAAATGAGCCACAGTCCAATTCAATGTGATGCCCTTTTACAATTTCCTGAGTAACACCCATTTTCTATCGGCAACTTGGTGAATGTTCAATTAGGTTCTTGGAGGCTACACACGTTGACTCATAGCGGGGTGTCCCGTTTACGAGGAAAGCCACAACTTCTGGAGCTTAATAATCCACACCGTTGATCAATCCGGGTTCGACATGAGAATCTCTGGTGAGCAGCGGTCAAAGTTTGTTGGCTTGTTGTATACGCAGCTGCAATGCCATGTTCCGTTGGCCATGAATTCGATGTGCTCCGAAGAACGCCCCCTTTACTGCAACAGTTTGTTGACGGTTGAGATTGACTGCTTCTCAGTGACCGTGGTAGGAAAACAGCTGGAACCCTTTCTGTGGTTTACTCATACTCAGTTCGCGGTTTCGGAAGCCAACAAACATATACAACCGCCGGGATGTACAATTTAATTTGATAAGGCTTGGTGACTGGTGCCTTGATCTCTTGTAGTCTGCTCTCTGACTCCAAACATCTGGGCGAAGCACACAAATATGGCCAGGGGGTTGCGATGGGAGTCCAGGGCCTTCCGTGGCCGAGCGACCTCCGTTTTTGGCGACATTCGTTAAACAAAAAACAACTTTAAATGGAAGAACGGAAAAGATCGAAACCCAAAAGTTGGAAGGGAAACAAGCTCCACCAAAATGAAACCATGCAGAACTCCTGGTAGTTCCTTACCTCCTAGGCAAATAGCTTTGCTTTCTTCCAGGGTGCTCACTTCAATGAGCCAAACAGCTGTGTCCGGCCTGCTCCACCTTCTTCTCCGCTTTTTCCTTCTCCTCCTCCGTCTTCTGGTCGGCTCTTGCACGCTCCATCCTTGCTCCAGACAAAAACTGTGGATGTTAAAGATGGGCGGTTGTCAAAGGGCCCTCGACATCAATCCGGCAGCGGCCTAAAATGGGCACATATTTCTGACGAACCCCCAAATGGGAGCGCGGTCAAACAAATAAACGTTGATCCAATCACTTTTGCTATCTGCTTGAACTACTTCAAAAACCTAATGCGTTTTTGGCCGGGATTGTTGCAAGCGCCACACTTTGCCAACGTGATGGCAGCCAAGCTGGCTTAACGCGCAAACCTGGCACGAAAGCTAGCACACATGGTGCCCCTATCTGCAGGGTGTTTCTTGCATTCAACAGGATTGCTCGGGCAAAATGCCAAGTGGGCGGGTACCATTCAATGGGGAACTCTCCAAAGTCTGGTTTCTTTCCTTTTGGCATCCCTTTAAAAAGAAGCCACGTATTTAGAACAAACCCAATTGCCGGCCTACAAGGATCGTTGGGACTCACAAGCAATTTCAACCCGATGTGGGTAGTCAAAACCTCTGAAAAACTCACGGTCTACCCAAAAGCCTGTAAAGAGCCGAACGGGCGGCGGCTGGGACAGTCCCCTCTCAACCCAACTGTTGATGTGTCGCAAGAGATCCTGTACTTGTCTTCGTACTTCTTCTGCTCGTTTTCCTCAGCTCGGGGCGAGGCTTTGGCTGTGCACAGATCGAGTTGCAGATCGGTCGACCGCAGGTTTTCGTCCATTCCATTTACCAGGATTCCATTTTGGGTACGTATTTTTGACCCACAGCAACATGAAGCACGGGCAACATTGGCCAAGGTTCAGCTCGAGGGCTTTTTGGCTTGAGTTTTGAGGGTCACAGCCGTGGAGGTTGAGACAAAAAGAAAGGCGTGGCAGGTTTTGCGCAGGAAACCCCGTTGTTTGCCCCTTCCTTCTGAAAGCATATTTGAGGGGTCCCACTGAAGGCTTCTTGACTGGCCTCACCACTCCTCTAATCTTGACTATAAAAATAGCCAGGGTTCATGAAATCAGGGTTTAGCCTTTCTTTCTTTTTTGTGTGTGTGTGTGCGTGCGTGCGCGCGTGTGTGTGTTGGTTGGGGGGGGGGGTGACAAATCCCTCGGAAACCCCAACTTCATAGAACCGTTCCTGGGACGGACCCCCGGCAACCCTTCTGCAAAGACTAGCATGAACCAATACCCCCGGCAACCCTTCTGCAAAGACTAGCATGAACCAATACTGGAGGTGTATTTCAGTGGTGTGTGTGTGTATATGGCTATGGGGCATAACCCATGGCTCCATCTTGGGGTGGATGAACATCCATTTGCACCCCATCTTGATGTTCACCAGGAGTAGCGGGTTTTGACACAGCCATATGTTTGGGGGGTTTCTCAAAACGGCACGGCCCCAATGCCCAATGACCCCCTGCTCAATTTATTCGAGCCGCCATCTTCAGCTGGTTCGCCTTCCGCTGCTCATCCAGCAGCCGCATCTCCTCCGCATGTTTCTTCTCCATCCGGATCCTGCCAAAGGCAGGCCAAAGGCCACCCCCAGGCCAAAGGCCACCCCCAGTGCTTGGGGGGCAGTGGAAACCATAGCTGGACTAGCTGGAAACCATTTTGGGGGGTAGTGTTTGGGGGATAGATGGTTACCCTTGCTGGTTCTCAGTAGGGAAATACAAGGATTGCTGAGACAAGCTTGGGGATTCGAGTGAAGAACACCACAATGGAAGTTCATATGGGTGACAACTGGGCCTGGGTGCAAGTGTTTGATGCTTGGGCAATGATCTTGTATTGACTTGCCCCGGCACTTGTTTGAGCATGTAGCATATACTGGCCTGCAAAAATCGCGTGTTGTTTTTGCGATCTGTCATCTTGGGCCCTTGCATCACCAGGTCCCAGCTACGGTCCATGTTGCATGGAACGGAAACATCCACGGCCCCGGACGAAACTTCCTGGCTGGCCACAGAGGGCAGGACCACCGATTTTTCTGCTGGTTTCGGTGGGACACGTGCGCCGTCAACAGCAGCCGACCAGTACCCAAGATATTGTCAGTTACTCACATGCATGTCTCCTCGATTGTTCCATGTCATCTTTCTCTTTCGACAGCTTCTTCAACGTGGCGAACCTGGCAGCAGAGGCGACAGCGTTCGGCGATAGGTCCAAAGTGGGCAATCCCTCGCACTACTTCGACTACTTTGTCACTTTACAAGGCATTCGCTTGGTACCACGACACAACCTAATTCCCCACACTTGCGTTGCTGACGAAACTTGGCATTCAACTGAACCAATTCAATTGCCAGGGCAATGACGCAAATACACTGGATGACAAATCAAGGATGTTCAAATCGGTTGGGCCAGCCCTGGCTGGTGTGACAAAGCCTCGTACCCAAAAGCCAGAAACTACCCTTGCAAGCGCCATTCCCAGTTCAGTTGGAAGAGTAGCCCCTATTATTCGGGGTCCTTCAAACAAATACTCCCCACTAAACAGGGACCCCCGCTTTGTACTTTTTCATGTTCTCAGCAACAGTTGCCCAACGGACCCAGGAATAAAAGGTTAACTTTTTGGGACCATGACTTGGAATGGACCCCAAAAAGGGGAAACTCAAAGGTCTAACGGTCGGCATCAAGCACCTGGCAAGTGTGTCTGGGCATCTGGGTCTCTCCAATGGAACAAGCGGGTTGCAATCGCTAGTGTCGCAGTGTCCTCTGCGAAACCCCCATCTAGGCTGTAACTTGTGACCAAAGCGTTGTATTCCAGCAACCTACCCAATGTAACCAAACAAAAGATATGGTACCTGGGCAATCATTTGGTCGGACCCACGCTAACCTTCAACTTGTCGACCTTCGATTGTCGCTCCTCATGATGGGGTCTCCCAAATTCCAAAGTCCCTCCTTTGAAGAGTATGTTGAAGGTTTCTGAGACACACATAGCAACAAACTAGGACACTTTGAGACCCATCCAAAGGAAAACCGACCCCAGTGAACATCCCAATCCCCACTAAAATACCGACTGGCATGGGCGGTGAATTCACCTACCCCAAAATGGGATCCCATTGGTTTTGACCCACAGCCACCCCATCTTCGGACCCAAAACAAACCGCACGGTGACCGGGCGCTCGCTCAGCACCCCAAGCACCCGCGCCGGAAGCGTTGGGCGTTGCCCTTGAAGATGGACTGGATGCGCACCGCGGCCTCGTCCTGGAGCAAAGGAATAGCTCACATGCCCAGCCTCCATTTGGTTAAGACCCCTGCAACAAAAAACAAAGTAGTGATAGGTTCCCTTTAAAACCAACAGGGAAAAAGATATTCTTAACCAAATGGAAGCCAGTGGCCATGGGAACAAAAACAAGGGCATCCTCTTTTTGGTTGCTTGACTTTAAAGTTGAGCCTTCCCCAAAAAGGAAAACACACATTGAAGAAAACCTTCCCCAAAAAAGGAAAAAAGGGGCGGAATCCACTGGGCAACTGAGCGGGAGGCCACAGGGAAGCCGCTAAAGGCTTGAGCTTTGACTAGGTCCTCCAGCAAAGAAGTTACAATAAGTGGGTACCCGATTTTTTTTTCTGTAGTCTATTCTAGTAGGGGAACTCCCCCCAAAAAAGGGTAAACGGGAGCTACTGGGGACCTAGTTGATGTAATGGGAAAAAGGGACTGGTCAAACTGTGGGCAAGTGGGAACCACTTTTTGCCGGTGAACCTTGTGTTGAAAATGGGAGGGACCCTTTTGGCCAGAAAATGGAGGGTCAAAAGGCAAACACTTTGCAGAACTAGTTATGCTCCAGCGAACTTGAGGAACATGAATCCTGGAACTACCCGGTGTTCTTGAGCAAGAGACGCATTAAACTAATTTCACCACTAGTCGAAGCGCGTAGCTTCCAGTTCAATCCACGTTTTCAACTGCCAATGTACTGGTTGAGACAAGGTGCTCAATACCTAATTCACCCGCAGATTGTGAGCCACTTGTCTATCTCGAATTGCTCCAGGGCCTTTAAGCCCGCCTTCCCCAACCCGCCCCGTCATGGTCCTACCAAAAGCGTCTTTCCTGTTGTGGGTCCAGTCTTGTCCTCTGCATGCATGACTTCGGGAACTTTCAAACTGCAACCACTTTCATTCCTTCCCCCAATGACTAGATATGTTCCCTCAGATCCCCCGCTAAAAGTTTAAATTTCCACTCAACACTAAAAGGCTAAAAAGCTAAGGGGATGGCTGGGAGCCACCAAGATTAGTAAGGGTGGATTTATTAACCCGTCGCCTGCTTCTTGAACTCCATGGCGTCCACTTTGTGCCGGTAGTGCTCCACCTGTGAAGCGCGTGCTCCGAGCATTTGCAACTTCATGCTTGTTGATTTACGAGTGACCTGGGTGGCCCGTTGAATGGGTTTCAACAAATGATTGGGTTCCTTTCAAGGATGGTATACGCATAATTGTCCTTTTCTGCAAGCTGGAGCCGGTTTATCTGAAACCATTTCGGTGCCCAGGAGAGATTTTGGCCATTTACCCTCAACAAGAACCAGGGGTTAAAATCCAAATCCACAACACCAATCCAAACCACCAATTGGGGGTTACCCTCCCAGCCACAAACAAAGAACCAAACGTTTCGGGCCCCTGTAAGACCATATAGTTTCCCTTCATCAAAAAAACGGGCCCTCTGGTGGGCTCCGTTTTGGACTGGGGTACAAGAATGGCTCGGAAAACCTGAGAATCCGCCAAACTGGGTTGCCCTTCTTCTTGATCTTATGAATGCCTGTACCCCCCCCCCACCCCCCCCCCCTCACACCCCCTTAAGGTAGTTGGGTCCTATCCCTAGGGCGCTTAGGAATTGATGTATCAGCATGTTCCCTAAGACTTCCTAAGCTGAACCTAAGAGACCCCTTGATTTTGATTCGAGATTCGAGCTGCGTTACTTTGCTGCGTCCCCCTAACCTAGGGAAATCATAAGAGATTCGAATTGCTTTTGCTGAAAGTGCTGCGTCCCCCTAAGCTTTCCGCAAACATGCTTCCCCAAGGTTTCCTAAGGCTTCCCTAGGGCTTTGTCTAGGGCTTCCCTACACCTTCCCTAGGGCTTCTCTAAGGTTTCCAGCTTCCCTAAGGCTTTTGTAAGGCTTTTGTAAGGCTTTTGTAAGGCTTTTGTAAGGCTTCCCTAAGGCTTCCCTAGGCTTCTCTAAGGCTTCCGTGAGGCTTCCCTAAGGCTGCTTTCAGGGTCCCTTCCCAGCCTAATTTGCAGGTTTGGGCGGTATTTCTTCTCCAATCAGCTTTTCACGGTTCCCCAAGAGGCTCCCCAGTGTTTCCATGCGCAGGGCGAATGTCAGGCCAAGCTTCCCCAAGGCTTCCGCAAGGCTTCCGCAAGGCTTCCGCAAGGCTTCCGCAAGGCTTCCGCAAGGCTTCCTAAGCCTCCCCTGCAAGAGAAGCCCTTTAAGCTTAAAGGGGGGGGGGTAAAGGAGGGGGGGGTACGGGCTCCAGAATGATCTTGCCTTTACACCCCTCCCCCCCCCCAAACCCCTTTACACAGCTGACCGTGTCACGCGGACAAGGCTGGCCGAAAGGAAACGAGCGCGGAAAGGACCGGCGGCCTCGCGCTGGAGCTTTGCCTTGGCCTTGGCTTCTTTGGCCTGCGCCAGCGGGTTGTCAGCCCCAGTGGAGGAAACATGTGACGTGTGGTGCGGTCGACGTTGGCTCTCTCTACCCGGTGCACTTTGCTTCAGACGGACATTAAAAAAACAAAAAAAACTTCTGACATTTTGGGCCTTGCCCCCCCCATTGTGACAAACATGTCCATTGTCTTTTGTGCTGATTTGGGTCGCCTTGGCTTTTGGAACCATGCCCCAATAACAAACTGGCTAACGGTACAGAACAGGTAGGCGGTTGCGACCGTAGTTGATCAAATTTAAAAACCGAACCCCGCCCAAACACGATAGGAAAGCCAACACAATAGGCCCTGCAAAGCCCGTGCTGGTTCCAAAACCTGAATGTTCCCTTTACAACGAGGCCCACTTTATTTCTCTCCCAAGTGAACTATAAATTGAGTCAGCACCAAATGGCACCGATGCCTTTGAACCTCAGCCAAGCAATGAGTCTTTCAAATGGCGCCAAACACAAAGACTCTGACCAGGGGCAACCCCAAAGCCACCACGTGTGTTCTCCTTTGGCTTCCCGGTAAAGACAACCAACCGAAAAGGAAATTGCACTCTCGAAAGTAACTCACGCCCATATCCGGTCCAGAAAGTGCGAGCAACATCCTCAACATTACCTTCTCAATGGTGGTTTTGAAGGCGTCTCTCACTGGGTCCCAAACATGATTTTGAGAACCTTTCAAGATGTAACCGCTTTATTTAAGGATTCCAGACCAATCTGGGTTGAGGCACAAAAAACAAAACAATAACACTGAATGAACCCCACTTTGTGCCGCACCACTTGAGGAGCCCGCCATTCGAAGGCTCACACCATTTTGAGACAAACCCATCCCATATTGTGGTTTTGTCTCACAATCGGGAAACCCCAAATATGGCTTGGTGTCCTTTTGGCTTCACTTGAAACCAACCAGAAGGGCACCCTCGACATCAAAAGCTCCGCCTTCTGCTCCGCGAATTTTTCCTTCCGCTCGCGCTCCAGCTTCATCTTGAGGTTTGCCTTCTTTGCGTACTCCTGGCATGCTGAAGCTGAAACCCAAAGAAAGAAGAAGGGAAGAAAGAAAGGAAGGAAGGAAGGAAGAAAGAAAGAAAGACAGAAAGAAGGAAACACGCAAACCACCGGAAACAAAATCAAACACGCACAACCAAACAGAACGAACACAAAAAGCACAAAACAAACGACAAACAAATATCCGAACAAACACACAAGCAAAACACGTCTGCCTGCAACTCGCTTCCTGGCTGGACTCACGAATGGAAAGTCCAAACGATGTGGATCCCGCCATGGTCTTCCAAAACATAAGTCGCAAGCACGGACAAATCCCAAAGGGGGATGGAGACCCTGATGAGATGCGGCTTGGAACCTGAAGTTGGGGCCTTTCAAACGAAAAGCGGACCGGTTTGTGGATTTGTTGGAGGCTTTTGCCGTTGAAATCAACATGAGTTGCCTATAATCATTCATATTTGGTGTGGTCGGGTACTAAACAGTAGCCTGGCAACGCGTTGCACCAACGCACAAAATACAATTGGAGCACTGGTATTGACCACACCACCGGCAGAACTCGAGTTTCCTCCAAAGCCCTGGTTTCTTTTGGGGATTCCATGTGATCCGCGGTGTTACCAAACCGAAAGTTCATGTGCGCTCGATCCCCAGTATCCGGGTGTGCGGCTCGCTGTCCGGGTGTGCAGCGACTTTCCTTTCGGTTTTCCCTTCGCTTTGCCTTTAAAATCATCCAAAAACGTGTACCAACTCAAAACACTTGCACATCCATATGCGTGTCTTGTTTTTGAGGGTGCCTTCTTGGGGTGGCTTTTAAAGGAAAACCAGAAGGACACCACTCATTTTGCTTGTGAGACCATCTGCGCGCGTCCTGCTCCTCCCTCTCGTGCTTCAAGTTCCGCAGCTGCAGCTTGGCGCGGCGGCAGCGGTACGCGCCCTGGCGAGTTTCGTTTCGCGCGTTTGGCTTGGTTTCGGCAGATGGGTCCAGATGGGTCCTGCAGAACGCGGAGCCAAAAACGGATATCCTTTTTTTGGAGGGATCTCCCGTTGAACGCTAGGTCCTCCAGATTTGAGAGGTGAAAATAAGTTGGCACCTTCTTTTTAATTTTAGTAGGGAAAGCCTTCCCCAAAAAGAAACGGAAAAAGGGCACTACTGAGAAACCGAGCGTTGGGGATCGGACTCTCTTGAAGGGGTTCCAGCTTGATGAACTCACTGGCAAAAAAAATGAGTCTACAATGAAAGTGGATGAATCATCCAGTAGATTGCATTGGGCACCAACCTGGAAAGGCCTCTTTTTGGAGGTGCACAGGAGGTTGGAAGACTCACATCGTGGAAAGGGTCCATGTCCATGTCCATTGGAAGGCGGTCTCCAATTACAGATGAAACAAGCAAAACAGGTGTTCTTTCCCTTTGGCCTCCATATTTCTGGCTATGGATCTCAATGGGGAACCACCTCAGTGGTTGGACGTGAATCCCCAACAGATCCTGATGTCCACCATGTCGGGTCCCCAATCAAAATGTATCCTATCAAAACAGCCTCAAGAAGGGCTCGGAAGAGTTGCTAGCCATTTGGCTTGAGAGGGAAACCAAAGGACGACGCCTTTTTCGGGATTGCTTTTGCAGTTTTCAGGGGTGGATCTTGAACACGGGACGCGCTTGTTTGTTGTGTTGCTTTGGCGTAGGTGCCATGCTGGTTTGGAAAGGGGAAACAATTTGGTTCTTGCACAGGGACCCCCTTTTGGCCCTTTAATGGGAAGCCCTTTCGGGCGGCTGATACTTATCGTGAGACCAACGAGAAACCGCCCAAAAGTGGACCTTTGGAGTCCATCTCATCACACCAATACTGGTGTTTTCCTCCCCAAAAAGTGACTTGCACAACAAAAAGAAAACACCGACGCCGCCTCCAACCCCGAAAAAGACACACCCAGCTCGCCCCCTTCCCTTTGGGCCTGCAGCACCCGGGCCGCGCGGTTCTTCTGGGTGAACTCCACCTCATGGAGCCGCTTCGAGAAGGAGGACACCTGGAAACGAAGCGAGTGGATCGGCGCGGCCATGCCAACGGTACCCCTTGCTATGAGCTTTGTGGCTTCCCCACCCCGTTAAGGGCGAAAAAGCGTCTGGAAATGTCGGACCTGTTCCCCCATTTTCGGACCCTAAGGGTGGGTGCGGTGTTTTTTTGCAGCCACCCAAGAACAACCATGGTATGGTAGCAAACAGCTTGTGCCTTTTTGCTGCCCGCCAACACATTTCACTGAACCGGAAGACTAAAAAGACAAGGACCGTGAAGCCTGAGGCCGGATCTAAAGTTGGCTTAAACTGTGGGGTAAGGCTCGCTTGCCAGTCTGTGGAAAGGGAACCACGGCTTTGGGCAGGCGAGTGAGAGGCTGGCGAAGCTTTCACGGGTTGGCTAAGGGTGGTGAAGGGATGGTGAAGGGATGGTGAAAGTTTTTTTTTCTTTTTTTTTTTTAAAGTAAACAATTAAAGGTTGTTGTCGGTTTTCAAGCTAGGCATGCTCAAGCTTGGTTCATGACGAAGTTCGATCCTTTTGACTACAATGGTGACACTTGGGATGGTATTAAGTTTGGTATCGCGCAGAATTGTTTCTTCTTTTAATTTTTAAATCTGCTGGTTGCCCTTTCTAAGCCAAGGGCACCCCCACCACCCTGTGGGAAAAAAAAAAAAAAAACGAGAAGACCTCCCTAACAAGGGACTCAAAGGGCCCCAAATGCACTGAAGGGATCCAAACAGGAGAATACAGTAATACAATGATTTGTGTCGAAACTGGGGGGGGGGTCCCCAAAATGACTGGTTTCGTTTGGGATTAAACCAACCCAAAACGGGTACTAACTCAGAAAACACACACACACACATAGACCAACATGGACCAAAGCTGAAGGTGAGTTTGGGAAGTGGTAGGAGCAGTTTATAAACACAAAGACCGACCCCAGTGTTTTTCTCACTTACAAGCGACAGGGCTCCCTAGAAATCCACACTGAAAACATCCCTACCAAGGGGAATTCACCTTACAGTCGGCCAAAAAGGTGATATTGAAAACCTAGATCTTACAGGAAACATATGGGGACTCCTGCCAACCCACTATCTACCCCCAAAGGAAAAATGGCTGTGGGTCAAAATTAAGCCATGGGACCACAGGTTTACTCCATGTTTCCATTTGCCAGGGTTCCCATTTTGGGTACCTATTTTTGACCGCCATATGGGGACTCCTACCAAACCACCACCTGCCCCCAAAGAAAAAAAAACGAGTTTCTACACGGGTTAACCCTGAGCGGCTTCAGAAAGCGCCTCCTGCACGCGCTTCTCCTTCTTCCGCAGCTCCTCTAAGCGCTTCCGCTCCCTCGAAACGCGGGGAGCGCTTGGAGGTCGGCAGGGTCAAGGCAACGGGATTTGCGTTTCTCAACACTGGCCTATCAAAGCCGTCCCTGAAATGATACCGTGGATGGACAGAATCCTGCACCATCTAAGAAACCATGGGAGACCTTATTTGTTGGTATTTACAGGGAATCATCAAAAGCCAGGGTTTTTTAGGTGGTGCAGGATTTTTTGTCCATCCACAGTAGCTTAACGGGAAACACCCCAGTTGCTGACTCTGATTTCCCCAAACGCAAACAACAATTAATGACACCTACATGGGAGCGGAGGAATAACTTCAAAGGACATCGCCTGAAAAAGTCTTCTGATTTTGAGAAACCGGATTCCGAATCCCAGTGACCAGCATGTCAGTCCTGTGCTCTTGAGACTTCTTCCATAGATGTTGTTCACAGATTTGTTTGGGTACAATTTGTAGTACCGCCCGATAGATGCCAGGGACCAGCCTAGTAGGCAACAGACATATACTCCTTTGTGTGTTGAAAGGGTGGTTTCCATTGGTTACCTACTATGCGGAAGCCATTGGGAAACCAAACAGAACAGAGACAGAAACGCACATCCTTTACGGGGGGAAGTGGAAAATCTATGGCTTTCAGCAACTTCCCCTTGTTTCCCTTTTTGCCATTGCAGCAAGCACTTCAGCTTTGGCCCCACAAGAACAGCTGGCTTGTACAAATCCTGGCCCATAAACATAGAATGCCAACAAATCTCCCAGCTACCCCACTGCCCATAGGAAAGAAAGGGCAATATTTCTTTTGGTGGCTGAGTTTTAAGAAACCACTCCCAAAAAAGCTGTCTGGGTACGTCAAACTCCCGTAGGTTAGACCTTTGAGAGAGACCAAAACATGTCTGCCGGGAGTTGATCAACTTGCTCGGAACCTTGGACACTCCAAACTCAGCTTCCCACCAATTGGAGTTGTGGTTTGGCCCCAAACCAAACCAACCCACCAGCTAAGGGTTACCTGACAAAGCACGTCAAACAGCTGGTCAATGCCGGCCCCACTGAACTTCTGTGACACTCATTCACTGAGGCCCGCGCTTCCACTCCGCGACGTTTCGGGCCTGAGTCGGGCGTGGGTGGCCTGTATGGGTGTCTCTGCTTACACAGTGTCTCCCATTTTCTCGCGAATGCAAACATGGGAATTGCACCGCCCCAATACATTCGTCTGGGCAAACTACCACACTATGCGTGGACGAAATCCTAAGCACCACTTGGGAGATATGCAACCCTCCACATAATTGGGTAAAGAACCTACCAACTGGTGCGTAGTTTTGTCCATCCACAGTACCTCTCAAACCGAATAAGGAACATGTAATGGATCTTCATCATGGGTGAGCTCGTATTACCTCCATGTCAGCTTTTTGCAATACGTGCAGGTGAATTGGGTACCAGCTTCTTGGCGGCCTGGCCCCTGCCTGCTGAAGCAGAGAACCGAAAGGAAGCCAGGCCCCCTTTGGGGTCCCGTTCATTGCCTGAAAGCGGGTGACCCTAAATTGATTGCCCGCAACATGGAAGGGCAAACAGCCATCACTTTTACAGGAGTATCCCTTGGGGAGAAAGAACACGGAGGGTAGCGATGCTGTCAGTGCAATGTGAGCCCGCAACAATGAACATGGGAATAAACTGTCTCATCCCCCTCATGTGGGTGGACAATTTGGTACGCCCCCAAATCCAAGAAAACTGACCAAACCTTGTACGGGATATGTTGACGGAACTTCACATCGTGACATGGATTTGCCTCCACATGGGCTTTAAAAGTTGGGAACCCACGTAACCAAAGGGAAGACGGGCGCCACTGAAGAACTGGCTCCCTCTGAATTTGGGTGTATCTCCCCTGTTTGGCTTTTGTTCAAGGGCCTACCAAAGAAAACCAACTATTTTTGAGGATCAAGGGATTTAAGGGCTGCCAACCGGGCATGTGTCTAGCCTCAAGAACGAGCCATGTGTCATGAAATCCGGGCAAAGGGCTCGTCGACCGTCTCTTTCCTTCTGCTTCTCCCGCTTGATGATCCTGAAAAAGAAGAGCCAGGGGAGGTCTGAAAGCTATGACCTGCTCCCACCTCAGGCGACTGGCCAAAAAAAGCCCTTGAACTTGTTTGCCACTAAAATGGTCTTCCCAAAAAGTTTTAGAGTCCTGGAACCCTAAGGAGGGGCGAACTGGGGAGGGGCGCTAATTATCCCTTCTCAACTAGTCCGTATAAGGCCTTAAGAGCTTATCAACTTGGCTTATCCCAGGCTTTTCCAGGGATTGGCCCCCCCTTTGCCCGGACCTTCGCTGGGGGCCGCGTGGGGGGGGGGGGAGGGTGGCACTATCACAAAGTGGAGCTGATGTTGCCTAATGGGTAAGGCGTGGCTCCCAAGATTTTGGCTTTTGGGTGATGACCCTCTCCTTGAGATGAAGTGTTGTCATCCACTTGCTTGCTCTCAACCCCGTTTTTCACATGCACGGCCGCGGTTCCACTTGCACAAATCCAAACGAGGTAACATGTTGGCTTCGCATGGCTCGTGTTCTTTTAAGCATTCAAACTGCCATCCTTCAGAGGGATCTCCCGGTCCCATTAATGATGCCTCTCGAACGACCACATGCCTGCCGCCCTTGCAGAATCACAGTGGAGACAAAACTTGGTTGCTTTCTGCTCCCCTGCTAAAAGTTTAGCTTTGGCGGTTTAATGGAAAACCCATTCGTTGGCAAAAAGTTAAAGTCCTAACATCCAAGCAAAATGCAATAAAGAAAAGATCCCCTGTCGTTTTCTGCTCCCTGCTAAGACTTGCGCATGGCAAAATCCCCCATACAAAAAGGGAACAGTCTTCAAGACCACCGAACAGCCAATCGGGATTCTCCTGGGCTGATTAGTTGATCCTACAGCAAACGATGATGATTTCACCAGAGTTTCCCAACAAGCAAAAGATGTCAAAAGGCAAACCTTGCGCTTGAAGTATACTTGACCAACTTCAACTAACGGACCCTTTTGGAAGCAGATCGTGGCAGTTTCGGCCGCGAACAACTGGCTGGGGGGTTGACAAACTTAGGGCCTAGGGGCTTCCGCAACGAGGCCATGCCCTCACCTGAGTTCCCAAAACCAAACGTTGCCCCCTCACGGTGAGACGCAATCAAAGTTTGAGGCAGACCCATGTAAGTAGTAAAGCAACGTGGATATCAGCACAGTAAACGAGAAATAGCTTGGCTTCTAGATTTACCCAAATCAGTTTTGAGGACGTGGCTAGACCTGGCTCAGGCATGCCTCAGGCTGAGGGCCCTGCTCCCTCACCTCCGCATAGCGGCGCCGCGCCATCTTCCCGCGCCAGCGCGCCTGCAACCTCAGAACGTTTGAAGCACCGCCGGGGACTTTCCCCGAGGTTGTTGGATCAAGGTAAAAGCCCAACACAATTCCCTTTATGTGACCTAGGTCCTCCCGATTTGAGAGGTTAGAACAAGTTGGTACCCTTTGTTCTTCTGTCGTCTATTTTAGTAGGGGAACCCTCCCCGCAAAAAGGGTAAACGGGAACTACTGGGGGATCTAGTGTGGATAAACAAAGGGGATGACCAAAATTTGGAAATTGTGCCAACTACTTTCGGCCAACTGTAAAAAAACCTGAGATGAGTACCCTCCAAAAGCCAAATTCACGCTCCGAGCCGCTTGATGATGTACTGGCCCAAGCGCCGGTTCTCACGGTCTTCCAGCATCTTCCGCATGGCCTTGGTGGGCCACTCAGCAAGTGGGGCATCTGAAAACAGCTGGAGCCAGCCGTTCCCTCAGATCCTAAGTCGCTTGAACATCCAAGTATCCAATTCCATCCGCTTTTCGCCATAACATGGCAGTGCACCAACACTCCAAAAGGCAGAAGGTTCGCAGCTTAAGCAACAAACACAAGTATCTTGGGTTGAAGCATGGACGCATTGCCAGCCCCCTGAAATCCATAGGATCTAAATGGTCTCAGCCCGGCAATGAAAACGTTTGACGACATACCCAACAAGCTTGTAATTGCTTCATCATGCTATACTACAACATTGTTGACCGTCCATCTATGACTTGAGCATTTCCCCGGTGCAACATATGTATATATATATATATGCTTGACCAATCAATGAATTGAAACATGCTACCAACACCCCAGACTAGTCTATCAGAATCACCCTCAAGGTAATTTCACTTTTCAGCCAGAAAATGTCGAACCCTACCAATCTGGCATGTGTACATCTGCAAATGTGGTTTGTTGACTCTGCTTCGCTAACCCCAAGACGCCACCAAGGTCTATTTTGAAACGCGACCTTACAAGAAGCAACCTCACTCAACATCGGTCCAAGCGATTGCTTTGAAGCAATGCATGGGTGCTAACAATTGGGGAACCCTAAAGGGTGTCCAGTGCTTTCCAGTTTCCTTCCTGAAGCATCTAAGTGCTCTCCCACATACATGCTCCACGGTCTTTGCGATACCACACATGTTTTTTGGGAACGATCTCAGAAGGGGTTGGTGTGTCACATAGGGCCCTCGCAACAAACATGGCTATTGCGTGTGATCCATGGGTGCATTTGTTGAGTCGTTTGAGGGTCGCTCTCCGCCAGGAAGTGTGCTCCAACGCAACTTTGGTTCCCCTCAAAGAACCCCGGCAGTTGGATCCTGGAGAGAAAACTGTGCTGAAAAGGGGACCCGCAACCTTCCTTTCTGGGCAACTTATGATAACCAAAACGTAGAAATGAGGAACCCCGGCAAAGGACTTTCATCATGGGTGAGCTCATGTTGCCAGCTATTCGTCGGTCAAATTAATCAGGGGCGCCCCCCCCCCCCCCCCCTTTTTCCGGCCCGAAAGGAATCCAACAACTTACTTCCTGAGTGGAGCCCAAAACGTCCAAACTTGCTCATCACTTAGGACTCTAGGACCGTCCTGAGGCCACGAAAGCTTCCGACTCGATTGCAGCTCCGAGCACGCACCCTTGCCCGAGCCATTTCCCGAGCCATTTCCCGAGCGCCCGGCTGGACCTCAGAGCCCCAAAAAGGGGAGCCACAAAAATGGCCGGACCATTTGTCTGGATTCGTTAACACTTCCAACACCTAAGAAAAAACTTGGATCCCCAAGTGAAGGACCTACACCATAACCTGCCCCAACTGATGCGTGAGGTTGCATGAGGTTTTTTCTCACTTCCTGAGTGGATGGGCCAAAAACCATGTGCAAACTGTTCGTTTACCGCGAAAAATGGTCCAACCCACAAACACTAAACTAAAGACTGAGTCCCGGAACCCAGGAGCGGTTTCTCGTGGGCCGAGTTGGTTTGTGGGCGTTTTACCCTCAGGCTCCGGCGCCCACGCCCATTTGCTGCGCCCGGAGCTGGCCAGGAAACCCCAGGATTGGGGCGGGGGTTTCACGGTTTGGGCGGGGTTTGGGGGAGGGTGTCCAAATGGCCGGGAAAGGCACCGCCTCTGAAAGCCTTTTCCCTTTGAGGTGAAATCACTGACAGGTAAAGGCCTGGAGGTCTTCGATTCCTTGCCATGTTGGCCCAAAGGTTCCCGGGAGAGGGGTCCTGGGATGAGACGCCAGTCATGGCTATGTTTGTTGACCTGGGGTATTGAAGCGACCCGAGTTGAAGGGCTATGGTTGGAGCCCCAAGAAAGGCGTTCAAATGGGCCCTGCTGGGTTGACGGTCTGGCTGGGAAACGTATTTCAACATGTTGATTGCCAATAGTAACATGATGAACATGTTGTTTCCTCCATGAGCCAAGGTTGGTGAGTTTTCCCGTTTCACCTACTCAAAGTCTATGTGGGATTGATCTTCCAAAGGCGGGCTGGGGCCAATCGAAGGCGTTGCCAAAGAGCCGAAACCATTGTGATACTGGTATTGCAAATGCGCCCATTCATGAATGCCGCCAGGCAGGGTACACGTTGCCATGGAAATGAGAAGAAGTTAAGTTTCAAGCTTAATGGTTCTTGTCGTGCGCCCTCCAAAGGTACCCTTAGAAGAAAGTGGTGCTACCAGTCAAGCTCAAGTTGAGGGATTTTGCCATGAGCGAAGTAGCAAGGCTGGATACACAGACAATCAAGCAGCCAAAGGACCGCCAAAAGCAACCGGGGCGCAAAAAACGGTGCAACAAGGATGGCCACAAAAGCAAAATCGAGAGCCCAAACCAATCCCCGCACAAGAGAACATTCTTCTTGGGAGAGTACCAATAAGCTCGTTGCGGTTTCCGCATTGGGGCATTTTGCAACTCGGAATCCAAGGGCACTTTTAATTCGCCTGGGACCTGGGCCCACATCGCCTGGTACACAGCTTCTTTCTTTCCTGTTCCATACTTTTCTGTTTGGAGGAGACCCCAGAAACGAGTTCGCGTCTTTTGAGTTGAGTTGCATCCCCGCTGTCCCCACTTGTGTAAGCTCAAAACCCGCAATGTTGCCACCCAACTTTCTGCCATGCTGCTGCATCCTGCAGCCGCTTCTCTTCCGCCAAACGCCTGCACAGGAGCGCGCCCGCTTGTCTCAAAATAGGAGACCGCTCTCCCCCAAAAAAAGGAAGAAGGAAAAAAAAAAAAGAAGCGAATGACGGGGCGACTTCCCTCGTGGTTGCCATGGAAAGACAATCCCAAAGGGCCTCCCTTGGTTTAACTGCATATTCTGGTTTTGCTTTGGGCCCAAGTTTGTCTTTCACCCGCTTTGCGCCTTCCAGCGGCTCGTGGCTTCACACAACTTGAGCAGCATGAGGGATTGGGTGCTTGAACATGTTTACAACAAATCGCTGATCGGTTCAAACCATTGTGTTGGAAAAACTCAACCCATTTCTGGTTCAAACAAATTCATCTAGCGTTTCCCATTAAAAGCCAAAGGCTGCCCCCTCCCACACTTCCCACAGGCCTCAGGCGCTCCTCCTCCCGCCGCTGCTCGGCCCTTTTCGCTTCGAGCTCCGCCTGCGATGTTGCGATGTTGATCGATCGATCGGCCCAGACAAATTTCCGACCTCCCCATTCTTTCCAGGGATCCGAATCTTTTCAGCAAACCATCAGAACCCCAGGGTTCTAAGAGCGATCGGGTGTTGAAAAGAACGATGGTTGAAAAGAATGGGGAATCAACCCCTAGAAAATTGGCGGTGGGTCAAAACCAATGGTACCATTGTTTAGTCTATTTTTCTGGGGATTGGGATGTTCACTGGGGGTACGGGATTTTGACCCATACAAAATTGGGTGTGCTTTATTTGTTCCCCGACAGCTGATAGGCGCTGGGGTGGTTTTGGGCAGCTTTCAGGGAGCCTGGGCTTATACCCAAAAACGGGATTCGTTTTTTCAAAGGCAACCAAAAGACAACCCAGGGGCCCTAAAAAACAGACGCACCAAGTCGCCTCCTAGGACACTAAGCATGTGTCTCAAATCGACTTGGTTTCCTTTTTGATTCCCTTTTACAACCCAAACCATTTTGCACCTTGCGGACTTTGGTTGGCTGTCGCTCGCGGCAACCTGACCTTCCCTAGGGGTCGCTTGGGGCAACCAACCGGGAAACCCCAATGGCCAAAACCGGGAAAAGGCTTGCCAGAAGCCGGCCATTCTCGGAGCGCACCAGGCACTTGGTTGTTCTATTCGACAAGTTGCAAAGGTACTTTGTTGTCTCTTCGAGGACCTTGCAAGTTGGTAATCCTCCCATGGAGTTGCCATGGCCTTCCTTTTCATGAACCAAACGAGGCAGGCTCGGGCTCATGTTTATGCGGCACAGCGACGATGTTGGGCTAGTTGGCTTTTGGACAGGCAAAGCTCCAAAGAGAGGAACCATACACATCAGCATTGCATTCGCGAGCCGAGACTTCACAAGATTGGTGCAGGGCATGCATCCTTTTCACAGCCGTGTTACAAGGGGGTCGACTCGTCCAGGTCCATGATGTCAAGACCCTACCATTTCACGCATGGAATAACAAGCCCCGGCCAAGATCCCCCGTCACTCAGGGAACCTTTAGGCCTTTCACGCAGATTTGAACCCACGGACCCAGGTCCTGTTGGAAGAGGTCTCCCTCCCCCGCTGAATATCCTTTAGATGGGGATTCCTGACTTTTGAGGAGGTTCCCCAGTAAAAGCAATGCCGAGCCCCTGAAAGTGTGTGGGGCATTCCCTGGAAGATGCGTTGTTTGGCCACCCAAAACAAGCCCGAACAGCACAGGCCAAACGGATATACTGCCGGGAACCGAAGACCCCAAGGCGGCCGTAGCTCCCGCCACAACCTGATCAATGGGTGTCTTTTTGCAAGGGTGCCCTTTTCGGAATTGGTTCAAAAGGACTTTGCAACAGAAGAAAAACATATCTTTTGGAGGTGTGTACATGTTTGCACCCTACCCTTCTTGGGGTTTCATTGAAGGGACACCAAAGGGACTCCAACCAATCGGCGGGTTCCCCCCTTGAGCCCGGCCCTCCGCCTCTTTCTTGGCCTTCTCCGCGGCGGCGGTGCGGCGGTCATTGCGCGCCCGGACCATCGACTGGCGCAGTCGAATGATCGAACCCGGGGGCTCTTCCGTTTGGGGGGAAAACGTGGCGATCGACTGCCTAGATCGCCAAGTTGCGATCGCTTTGTTCAGTCACTGTTGCTGGCTTTTGGGGTAAACTTCATGGGAACAAAAGGCAGCAGCTGGCGATCAACCACTGGGTTTTAGGTCTGGGGGGTCAAACACAGAACCCTGGGACTGTAGAACCCCCGTTGTGCTCTGAACATCAGCACAGAACCCAAACGTCCAGTTTGGTTGGTCCATCGTGGCACCCAAAGAGTCCCCTACAAATTGGGAACCCAAGCAACTCCTAGGGGGATCTCGCCTTGCGATATTTGGGGAGTAGACTTTGTGAGAAACTGGGACTTCCAGGGATCGAACTCTCCTACGAGTATCAAGAGCCCGGCATTTGCAAAGGATTGGGCCCAAATATGAGCTTGGGACGAACCTGGATTGTTTCCCCCCAGCACATTGGATGCCTTTTTCTGGGTCACTTGGGGCCCCATGTTATCATTTCCCAACGAGGCGAGGTGACATCAGGCCATGGCTCCTATGGCTGGGCATGTCCCATGGATTGGGCCCCACTAGTTTCAACTGGGCTGCTCAAACCAAAACTGCACCATGCCCCACAGACTTGTCCAGCATGTTGTCAATGAATGGCCTGATGGCTGTCCCATCCTGCAGGCTGTCCGCTGGCCATGTTGGGACATGTGCTGGCATACATCGGAAAGGAATCCGACACTTTAGGAGGCCCATGCATTCAAGCAAACAAGTCTGTAATTCCCCTTAACAAACGCTACGACCTAGATTCGCGCTGAGTGTTTTAGATCGGATATGGGCCTTTGCTCTTCGACTTTGAAGGACAAACCTGACGGCCGGGTGGATGTCATTCATTTTTGAGGAACAAACCTGACGACGGCCGGGTTGATTCATACACCATTCCAGGGGCGGTAGCCTCAAAACAGGGTAGCCTCAAAAAAGCACCGCCCTGCCCACCTGAATCTTGGTGGCGTGGTAGGTCTTCCACCGCAACTCGAATTCCTGAATCGCCTCCTGCAACCCGGTGCTGTTGGGTCCCAGTGGTTCTTCCTTCGGCCAGGATCCCCTTGGCCCATGCAGTGAAACAGGCTTCCTGGGTGTCTGCATACAAGGAAAATATGTCCACCTTGAGTGAGGTTAGACACTTTTTGTCCAACAAAATAACTGTTCGAAAACTGGATGGGCAGAATCCATTCCATGCAATCAGGCCCTGAAACTCTGTCAAAGAGATTAGATCCCTTCGGAATGTCCAATTCATAGACTTGGTTGAACATCGGACACCTAATACAAGAATGGGTTAAGCATAAGGCAATCAACAACATGTGGCAGGAACCCTTTTACTTCAAACTGGAAGCTGGGTGGCTTCCTGTTGGCTTTGCAACCACAGCCAGGTCCAGAGAGACCTCGAACAACTCATACCACTTCGACAAACATGACTTCAATCTGCAAATTCTACCGTCACGTCAAAGCCTCAAAGGATCCAAAGTAAGGGACCTACATGGATCGAAAGCTTCCTGAGGCGTGCACCACTTCCATAAAAAGACTAGTCGCAAACCTGGACGGGCCCACGCTTCGGCTCAAGCAGCTTTCTTGGCAAACATCGACTATGGCGTGAAAAGCCATTGGACACACACACACACACAATATGCCATTCTCGATTGGCCCGATCATCATGGCAGCACAAACGCCAACAAGTGCGGGCAGAACCAGTGTCAAAACTTGGGTTCGACCTAGAATTCACCTCTTGTGCGGTTGCACATTTACAAAACTGGAGGGCCTGTCAACCAGCGGCCTTTCTCGTGGACTGCTAGCATCTTCTGCCGCCTTTTCAGAGTCGGGATCCAACGAGGTGCTGCCACCAACCCCCCAAATTCACGTTGAGGTCACAACTGGAGCAGGCCATTTGGATCCAACGAGGTCACGACTGGAGCAGGCCATTTCGGTTTTCGGCTGGACCGCAGGAATCATTTTCTGGGCCAAACGGATCCGACCCGTAACAATCGAGTGCAAAGGCTAAAACGGATTTCTCCCCCGTAGATTAACACGGTTTGAACTTTGACCCCAAATTTCATGACTTGTGGAAGCAATTCAGTTCGGGGATCGGACCCCTTTCTGAAGCTCCATTTTATGCGGGTACTTTCTTGTGTCCTCCCCCCCCGCCCAAAAAAAAAGGCCTCAAAACCATTCAAAACCCACATTTGCCCATGTGTTGGGGCTAAACTACTGTTTGGCTTTACACTTAGCAGAACCCGCAAACCCAACCAGACCAGGGAGCCAACCGGGGCAACCTTGGCAACCGTCCAAGCAACCCACCCACCAGCCAACCAACCAACGCACCAATCCACCAACCCGCCAACCCATCTAGGTCCTCCAGTAGACAGTAGAGAGGTTAGAACAAGGGTGCCCATGACTTTACTTTTTTTTGTAGTCTATTTTGGGGGAACCCTCTCAACCAAAAAAGAAACGGTGAGAAAGGGAACCTAGCTGGGGGACCTAGAAGTTCAAGGGTGGTTCCCTTTGGTTTCGTAATGTTGACCCATGATTCTTAAAGAGCCCTATTATTCAGGGTCATTCAAACAAATATTCCCCACTCAACTTGTCCTGGATGTTGGTTGGTGCCACTCTACTTCTTTGGGCGCAACTCGCTGTCCTGCGCTCGGAGCACCTCTTGCTGCCTCTTGCGCTCCTGCACGGAGCAACGCAGGAAGGGGACCTTTGGAGATCCCTGGAACACCTTTGAAAAAAAACCAAACGGAACCCAAAGGACACGGAAGCCGTTTGAGGAACCAAACTGCGGTGGGCTGGTGGAAATGGACAACTCATGGCAAAAAAAGATCCGAATTTCGAAGAAATTGGGCCTTTGGGAGAACCCAATGGCTTGGTTCAGACCGCAAACCTTTAACCCAAACTTCCTTTTGCTTGTTGTTTGCCTGCAAATACAAGCCTGACATACGGGATATGAGTCGGGCTCATAGCTCGTTCTGCCCCAGAGCTCTCCATGAAATACCCAGATTTCCGGGCTGCGCCACTTCACCACACCTCGTTGGGCTTGGGCTTGGGCACCAGCCCAGCTTACTGGCCCAAAATTTCATCAAGCCTTGACAAGCAAAACAAGACAGCCAACAAGCAGCTTGCAATCTCTCAAACCCTCCTTTAAACCTGCCAATTTGAATTTTGTGGGTTATGGTTACCAAATCAACATGTACAGTTGGGTGCAACTAACTGGCACAAATCCGCCTTTTGGGTATGGTCATCCCCTTTGCTTGCCGACACCAGCAGAATGGTACCATCTACTTTCACCCGGGTGTAAGAACTCCGCCCCCTCCCCCCCTCAAAAAACAAAACAAAACAACTGCCCGCTCCAAACGTATCCACTCTGCTCCCCTGGATCCCACGGATCCTGCGCAGCTTCGAAAGCCTCCTTCCGGCGCTTCTCCGCCTGAGTTCTCCAAATGCTTTGTTGCAATAACAAAATCAAGCAAAGTCGCGGTGTTGTTACCATAACAAGTTGCAATGCTACCACGAATCAAGCCAATTTACGTGGAACTTGGGGGATCTTGAAATGAAGATGGTCCAAACCAGGACCCCCCCGAACGTCAGGTTCCATGCGAAAAGGGTGGGAGGGTACCCAGAGCGCTACCCGCCTCCTCCTTCTTCTTGCGCTCAGCCGCCACGGCAGCCTTGAGCCGGTCCTGGAAGTTTTTGCGTGTCCATCCCCCGACCAAAACCAGCCAAATGAAGCCAAACCAAACAAACACACCATTGATAGCATAGATCAACGCCTTGACTTGACTGGAATGGGCAGAGCAAACAAAGAACCTGCTTCCCAGCATAATCTTCCATCCTCAAAGGGGCGAAAGCCTTTGGAAGGTTCCGGAGGGCGAGACCTGTTTGAGGTTGGTTTCCAGGCAGATTCGAAGGGGAAACTGCTTCGGGAAACAAGGGCACCTTTTCTGCTTTGCCGGGCTTAAAGGGGAACGATGCTTTGATTAGTTGGTGGGTGGGGGGAGGGGGGAGAAAGTCAGAAAGAATGAGGGAAAACAAAGAACAAACGCATGAACTAACAACGAGAAAGGAAAACACACAACATGACAAAGAGAGAGAAGAGGGGAAGAGAGAGAGAGAGAGAGTAAAACAAAGAGAGAAATAGCCACAAGGATAAAGAAAAGGGAAGGCGACAAAGACAAGGCAGGGACATGTATTATGAATCATATATATATATATATATATTATATTATACATATGTACTGTACATTCAAGCAGAGAAAGTGAAAAGGAAAGAGAAAGAGAACGATAAAGGATAAAGTAATGAGAAAAAAAAAGGAGAAATATAAAGAGGAAAGGACAGACAAAGAGAAAGACAAAGAAAAAATCAAATAACAAGGCGGCACATATATAGTAGAGAGAGGGAAGATGGAGAGATGGAGAGAGGAAGAGTGACGGAGAGAGGGACTCGGAAACCACGGAATAACTTGATGAAACGAAATGGATAGGCTGGTCAACACAAACGGGAATGGACATGCTTCTGGATGGCTTGATTTGGAAACCACACATAGAATCCTGAGGGCTTGACCACAATCACATGGGTTTCGAGGTTTCCTTGTTGTTAGCTTCTAGCACTTCAGGTTTTACTGCCTCACTTGTTGCCTCCACTAGAACATCTTTCATCTTGCTCCATATGTGGTGAAACACAAGCTATAAGATTATATGGGGTGTTTTGTGTGTGAGGGTTCCCTGTTTATGTTGGTTTCTTGAGGGAGGCCAAGAGACAGCACAAGCCTTGGTCCCCCATTTTCACACAATCTCCTACTCAAAACAGACCACAGATTAAGCGCTCCCGCCTTCCCCGGTGTGAAACCAAACAAAGCCAAGGCGAAAGGCAAAATAAAACCAAATGGGTGCCTATCAAAATGGGGGACCCTTTCTGGTGCTTTCCTCCTTGGCTCTCTTTTCAGTGCATCGACCACCATTGGATCGCTCGGAATCTTGAATCGGGAAGACGATCAATCCGTCCTCCATGAGTCTCCCCGACTTCCGCAAGCGCCGGCCTGAAATTCGATACGCGAAAAGCGTTAACCTCCGGCTCCCTGCTTGCAATATTTAGGTGTTCCTTGATATGCAGCACCTACATACGGCCACTAAAGGGTATTGTAGATACCCCATTTTCCCCCGGTGGTAGTGAAGGACATCTTAGTGTCTCGCAAGGTTTTGGGATTCAAGCGTATGCTAGCCAAAAAACAAAGGGCACCAATAGGTAACTTCTGCTTATGGTGCCCCAAAAGGGGCCCCAATCCCGGAACAGAGCGCCTGGAGTTGGCTTTATCAAAATCAAGAAAAGCTAAGCCTGATTGTCACTGCTCTTGGCGTGTTCGTTAGGTTGTTGTCTTCATTGGCCGCAAAAAGCAGCGTCGGGTGAACATGCACCGATCCCTCTTTCATTCGAAACGGTTCTGAACTTCATGTCCAACCAAAGCTTGGGCATGGTCACGCAGCAAACAGCCGACCAACGCAATCCAACCCAACCCAACACGACCCACCCACAAACCAACCGACTAAGCAACCAGCCAGCATCGCATCAGGATAGAACAAGCATTATTGAACCTTCTCAACAAACCCGGTGGGATGTGGCGATTCCGTTTCGTTTCGGCCCATTCTTCACTGCCCAACCTACGCATTGGCCTCTGTTGGATGCTTAACACGAAAGGAGTTCAACGCCCACAACCTGCCTCGGTAATTTCCTTGGACCAAGCCCTGGCCAGAAACCAAATTTCAATGGGATGGACGAACTATCACGCTGGGATAAACTAGTGCAGGCGTCGTCCATCCATAGGCTGTTCCAAAATGATCTCTTCCATGGCCTCCCGTTTCCCGAAATGCTGAATCGTGTTGATATAGCCTAAAGGATTCATGAGAATCAAATATTGAACTGCAGAATATGTTCAATGGAGGTCCCATAAGTGGTGAGTTTGTGGCTTGTCCTGCAGGCTTCAGCCCCAAAACAAACTGCATCTTGGCAAGCGCTTTTTTTTTCTCTGCGCATCCACAGTTAATTATTAATTCCAATAACCTGAAATAAAGGATTCCAAGTAAAGGACCTACGTCATGGAGTAAATCCTGTATTTTACCCTCGGATCGGTCCTTAGACATAAGATGTGCACAGTAATAATTACCAAGAACAATCGCAGTGTGAGAACTACTCCGAAAGCCCAAAAGTTTAACTTCTAGTGGGTTAAATGGAAACCCCCACTAAACAGTAAAAGGCTAAACAGCTCAGGCACCGGATGGCTGGGCTTGCCACCAAGACTTCTACCCTTTCGGCTTGGCCTTTTGGGTCTTTTCTCGGGCGCGGCTTTCAGGCGGAGCGTTTTTTTTTTTCCTGAGGCTCTGGCGCTCCAGCTGACCCCGCAAAGCCGCCTGCAGCCTGAACTCGTTTGTGGCAGGCTTGGGAGCCTGGGGCGGAGGGGGGGGAGAAGGGAAGCTGGGCCAGACTCCGACCCCCTGCGAAAACGTGTAACTGTTTGTGGTTGAGAGGGGATGAAGGAAACTGAAAGAAACCCTTTCACACCACACCAAGAAGTGTGCCAGCTCCAAGCAAAAACACACATCCACACTACCTCAGCATGTTCAACCAACAAAGTCATTGATGCTGGTTCATATTTAGCGAACCGGATACATGTAGCATAGTTTCAAACTACATCCCAGATTTTCCAATTTTAACCGCACACCCTGCCTGAAGGCCTCGATGTCATTTGGACCAGTTGCCCAGTAAATTTGGGTGCTAAAGACGGACCTCAGGAAACGTCAAAAAGAAAAACAACAACCATCGCATGGCGCTCCTTTCGGTAAATAACCACTTGGTCTTGTCTCAACATAGGAAACCCCATTTCGGGGTGGGGTTTTCAAGGATTGAACCTTGAAACGGAAACCACCAGGGCTCCCGAATTTTGAGAACACACTATGGTGACCATGGAAAATCCCACCCAATCTCAGCTTTGCACTAATTGGTGGTTTGGTGTGGTGGTTTCGCTAGGTCCTCCAGTCGAAAGGTTACAACAAAGGTACCCTTTTTTCTCTAGTCTATTTTAGTAGGGGAACCCTCCCCCAAAAAAGGGCAAAAGGGCACTGGGGGACCTAGTTCGGGATTTGACCCCCAGCTCCTTTTGAGGCCAAATGTGGAAGACAACATCCAAACCACTGGGGCCCCAAACCGCCAAGGGCGGCAATCCCATCCCACCCCGACGCGGCGTCGAATCCGAATTGAGACGCCCCGCTTCAGAGCCGCGCGCTCCCGCTCCTTTCGCTCCAGGTCCATGAGGGACACGCGCTCACGCATGGCCGCCACCTCAAGCGGATGCTTGAAATCCACCTCCGGACATCGGTGCACCACCGGCTAAGAAACCCAACGGAATGATGTGTGTATATATATATATATGTATACTGTAAATATATATATATATATATATATATGTATATATATATTATGATTCCCTTGTCAATGCCAACAAACAATGGCTTCAACCATGGTTTCGAAGTGGTCCAGGATTTGGTCTCCAACTGTCTTTGAACCCATAAACCACCCTAACACCAACTTCCGATCCTGGAGGGCTGTGGGGGCCCATGGTTGTCCCACTTGTCGGGTTTGAAACAACCCGCAATGCCGGTGTATGCGCACATCCAGGGCATTCCGCTCAACATTTTGCTTGTGATCTTGGCCCAGGTGCGCCGGGCAATGCCAACATGTGTACAATGGCACAGCCCACCCTAGGCCCATGCCAACAAAATCAGCTGTACAAGCCGGTCCCGGGCAGCAACAAGTGGGCATTAGGTGAGCGTCAAGCAAGCATTCATAGGCATACTCCGTGAATGACCACGTAAGGATGCCACCGTGCTGATCTGACTGCTCTGCCAAAACAGCAACTCTTCCTTCTCTGCTCATGCGGCAAAGATGGCCTTGGCTTTGGCATACAGGGCCTTGCCCTGAGCCGTCTTCCCGTTCACGGGGCAAAAGCCCTTGATGCCAAGCTCCTTCCTGGCCTTCTGCACGGCGGTGTTCCAAGCAGAGATGTACTTGTAGGCTTTCTTGCCCGCTGCGCTCTGCTTCTTCGTCACCACTTTCCCGCGCTTGTTCAGCCTGTGCTCATTGTCTAGTCTCAAACGGTCACATAGTTGCTAGTGCCCACATCACTGATTTGTTGGTAACACAAACAACTAAAGGGCTTAAACAACAAGCAAACTGCTGCTGTCTCAGGGCAAGCTTCATGAGGTCAGTCTTGGTCAGCTGGGTTGCCGTCTTCTCCTTCGCGCCCTTGAACACGGCGGTCTTGGCACGCTTGCCCTTCGCAATCTTGCTCACGGCCTTCTTCTTCATAGCCTTGGCCTTCATCGCCGGCTTGGTGGCCTTCTTCATGGCAGACTTCCTGGCGGATTTCATCACAGCCTTCATGGCAGACTTCATGGTCATGGGGAGGGCCATGGTGCCTCAATGAGACTAAGGAAACACAAGGCGCTGCAACGTTGGCGGGCAAGCTTGAGATTCAGGAAGGCAGCCGGCAGCCGCTTTACTGCACGCTGACCTTTTGCTCGCAGCTTGACATTGTCCTTCTTTAGAATTGCAATAACCCGTGCGGAAACAACTCGAAACAATCAACTTGCATGCAACTCTCAAATCATGAGTAACTCCTGCACCTGCAACCTGCATGGACATCTATTCTCTGGCATCCCGCTCAACATTTTGCTTGTGATCTTGGCCCAGGTGCGCCGGGCAATGCCCAAATGTGTACAATGGCACAGGCAACCCTAGCCATGCCAACAAAATCAGCTGTACAAGCCGGTCCCGGGCAGCAACAAGTGGGCATTAGGTGAGCGTCAAGCAAGCATTCATAGGCATACTCCGTGAATGACCACGTAAGGATGCCACCGTGCTGATCTGACTGCTCTGCCAAAACAGTAACTCTTCCTTCTCTGCTCATGCGGCAAAGATGGCCTTGGCTTTGGCATACAGGGCCTTGCCCTGAGCCGTCTTCCCGTTCACGGGGCAAAAGCCCTTGATGCCAAGCTCCTTCCTAGCCTTCTGCACGGCGGTGTTCCAAGCAGAGATGTACTTGTAGGCATTCTTGCCCGCTGCGCTCTGCTTCTTCGTCACCACTTTCCCGCGCTTGTTCAGCCTGTGCTCATTGTCTAGTCTCAAACGGTCACAAGTTTGCTAGTGGCCATATCACTGATTTGTTTGTAACACAAACAACTAAAGGGCTTAAACAACAAGCAAACTGCTGCTATCTCAGGACAAGCTTCATGAGGTCAGTCTTGGTCAGCTGGGTTGCCGTCTTCTCCTTCGCGCCCTTGAACACGGCGGTCTTGGCACGCTTGCCCTTCGCAATCTTGCTCACGGCCTTCTTCTTCATAGCCTTGGCCTTCATCGCCGGCTTGGTGAGCACGAGCTCAAACCGCCTCCCAACGGGAGCCAGGAGGAAGGTCAAAGTAGGGAAGCGTGTACACGCCTAGGAGCTCAACGTGCACAGCAATGATGAAAGTCAGCAAAAGGGTAAAATCCGCGAAAAAGGGGGCGAACATGTTCACGCCCAGCTGCATACCCAGGAAGCGAGCCGCACGTACTCGTAGATGCTGCTCAGGGACTGCTTGCGGTAAACCAACCATTGGAGGAAAGCGGCCAGGCGCATCTTGTGCCAGAAAACCCAAACTGTTCTCTTCCAAAAGCGCTCCGAAATGTCGATCATGAAACATCCCAGAAAGGGTCTGGGGCCACTCGCACATGTTGTGACCTCACGTCATTGTACAGTCACATTGTCTGTTTCTCGCAAATCCAGGTCACCCGGCAAGTGACCTGCATGAACGATAAAAACAAAAAAACAATGTAACTGTACAGATGAAGTGGGATCAAAGCATGGGCCAGAGGCCCCAGACCCAGACACCAACCAAGTGGTAAATGCCTGCAATGCGGCCGCAGCTGCAATGCTGCAATGCCGGACCTCCAAGGCTTCAAGTTGTTGCCAGACCACGGTAAAAATCGTTGAAAGCGAAAACGTCGTCTCATTCGCCAAGCTGTACACGAAGTCGCTGCCATGGAAGAGCTTCGGCATCAAGGGTAGATGCCGCTGTAGACATTCATATCAGGAGAGATATTCATATCCTGTCAATTCCCGCCTCTTTCTTCACAGGCCCCTCCCCGCAGGCCTTTCATGGCAGACTTCATGTGGAGAACCATGGAGCCTCAATGAGACTAACAAAAAGAAAGGAGGCGGTGTAACGTCGTCGGGCAAGCTCACAGCAGACAGGCGCTCACTCAATGAGATCCAGCACGTATCATGTACCAAGCGCTTCTGTTCTCAGTGGGAAGTATGAGGACCTCTTTGGGGGTCCGTCTTCTTTGTGCCCCAGCTCGCAGTGCAATTGAAATAAACATGGGCCCTTCTGGTAAAACCTGTCAAATACAAATCCCCTGGTGTCAAAATGTCGGGAAATCTGAACGTCAACATAGTCCAATATCCCAAGAAAACACGGCGGCTTCCCTTTGGGAGGTTCCCTCTAAGAGAAAACCACCGGGTTCAAGACAAAAAAAGAGGGAACAAAACGAATCCGCGGTTTTCGCCTCGGCATCCCAGGCTTTCCTCCTGGCGACCTTGGCTTCCTGTTTCCAGCGGACCTGGCAGAACAATCGCCCGGAGCAGCCCAGAGATTTGGGGAAGGCCCCGGAGGCTCAAAGCTGGGGGGTTCCCAATAAACAAAAAAATAGCCCCCCCCAAGGCTGGTGATATTGACCTGATATGATCTCATATCAATCAGCCCCTGTTTATAAATAGGGGGGTGGCGGCCCCTCAAAAAGGAAGAAGTGATGATTGACTAAACCCAGAAACACCCCCCCGCATTCATAAACTAGGGTTGACATGGGGTCAACATTGATGCCGTTGGTTTCCCCCCCAAACCATCCAAAAAAAGGCGCACACCCTCTTGTTGGACCCATGAACCAGTAGGGACTTGCCTAAAAAGCTCTGGCGTGCACCTTGGCCATACCACCCCAATAATCATGTTCTGCCCAAAGCAAAGCGTATCCGGGCCAACTGACTTTTTTGGAGAATCCATGGGTCGTCATAACTTGCCCATCATGGACCTAGAGCCAGCAATGTGTCACAAGGGTCTGTGTACAGAAAGTTCCCCTTCTGGCGCTAAGCTCAGGTTGATCTGAAGGGAGGCCCTTCCAAGAACAAAAGGAAACCGGTGCCACCATGCTTAAACCGGGCAAAAACCCCCATCCTCTTAACAAGTGTGCCCAAATAATCGGGGAATTCTTGCAAATGACAAGGTCCGCGGTTTTCTTTTGCATCCTAAGAAAAGGTTCCGATTTGCGGACTCTAGGAGTATTCCCATCCAACCAGAGCCAGGGATCTTTGTATGCCGCCTTGAAATCCATGGACCAAAAGGTGATACTCAACCCTGGCTTCCTTTCTCTTGGTTGGCTATTGCCCTGTCCAACAACATTTGTGTGTGGACTACTGGGAAAGCACACACAAAAAGTTAAAGGTTAAAATTTGGTTTTCCACCCTAAATGGAGCGCATAGGCAAATCCTGACGACAAAGCGCGACAACCCCACCTGGCGCTCTGCCCAAGTCCTCTTGCGCTCCTGGTGCGTACGTATGCCTCGTCACTCCCGTGAAAACCGTTGTTTTGATGGCTCAACTAACTGCTATAGCTGACTAAAAACAGGGGGTTCCTTTTGAGAACAAAACATGTTTAGCAGCCACTCAGGGTTGGGCAAACCCTTTGAAACATGTTGAAACTCTCGATTCAAGCTTGTCATGATGTCCCTGTAAAGGGGAAGGGCCATGATGCCATGTCTTGAACCAAAGTTCGGTTGTGGTTCTAATTGTTTTTGCAGATGCATCTTAGTGGTTTAGACTCCTTTGTAGACCACCTTGTTTGAACACAAACACCTGGGTCATGGGGGGTTGATCACAAGGTCCTTTCGATGGGATGACCCTTGGGGAACACCAGTAAAACTATGTTTGTTTTCCTTTTTGTTTAACAAAAACAACATCTCAAATTAGCCACGGTCAAAACTGGGGTGCCTTGAATCTCCATCAACCCCCCCAGAATCCGCTGGAACTGACCCCCGGTCGCCCCCAGTCTCCTCCCGCGCCGCGAGCTTCTCGCGCTGGAACTGGGCGAAGCGCACCGCGAAACGCTTGCGGGCCATGGCCTCGGCGCGCGGATGCCGGGGCCGCATCCCGTGGTTCGAGCGCCGTTGTTCAAGCGAACGGGTCGGAGGTCGGAGTGGCCAATCAAAAGTGAAGAGCTAGCGCAAACCGCGGATCTTAGTCTTTGGTTCCATTTACCATGCCATGTTGGTAGATTTGCTTGAGCCGGTAGAAATCCACCACTAAGGGGACTGCCGGGTTGGGCAAAGCTCATTTAAACCAAGGAACCTCCAAGATCCCCAGGAAGGCTCATTTTGTCCCCAGAGCTCGTAGTTCGTCGAGTTGCTTGGCGTGTCTCTGAGAAAAGATGTAGTCACTTCGGATTCGGGGCCCATTGCCTTTTGGTCAAACAAGGTCATAGGACCGCCACACGCGGTCACGCAGCCAAAAGCGAGTCGCCTCTAGGGGCCCAACTCCTCGAAAGTGCGCCTGCACTGTGATGGCCTCAACCCATTCAGCTGCAGCGATTTCTATCCAGGAATCCAACTGCTTGCATGAAGAACAACTTGAGTGAGAACATATTGTCCAGTCTAGCATCAACGTTGACCTGGCGCTTAAATCGGCTTAAGTTGTCCTATTTGAGAGCCACCAAATGCAAGCATGGCGGCAAACAAGAACTGACAACATCCAAGAAGCGCCCTAAGATGTCACAAGCCCATCGCCGAATGGTGGTTTGCTTCTTTGGATCTCCTTCAAGACTCATTGAAAAGATCAAACGAGGGTGAGCCTTATTTACCCAACGCAGTTTGCAACGCTGAGTGGCTAAGGCACAAGGTAGTCCAAACAAGCGTTGTATTTGCATACTGTATACTAAAGTGAGGACACCAGCAACAAATAAGCAACGCAATGACAAGAGGATGCACGCCTCTGAAAGCGTCGAGCACCAACAATGTGGATGCTGGGCAAAGCAACGCATTCTGTGGATCTGAGAAGGTCATTTGTGCATGTACGACTTCAACCGGAAAAGGACCACGACAACGAAAGGACACCCTGCGGGGCCGGGCAACCAGAGAATTGAATTAACCGCCGCTCCATGTCTTCTGAGCTCTTGGAGAGCAAGACGAACAAGGCGCTGTCCAAATCGGCGGATTCCGCCATAATCGGCAAACCACTTTTGGAAAGAGGGGAAGAAGCAACAGCATGGCTTTTGGACTTCTTTACAAGGGCAAGTAACACGGGGCAGGTTTTCTGCGGTGGATTGGTATCATGCCAAAAAGGCGCCGCCTGAACCCGCTGGTCATCTACAACACTTGATACTAAGCAGTGCACGGCGACCCTCCACATGTTGGGGTTTCGCAACCCTTTTCACAAGCGCTACTCTCAGCCTGGCACTTGCAATTAATTGTTCGTCCCAACAAAACAAACAAGAGAAAACACCAATCCCTGCGGTGAAACCAAAGAAGTCTGTCCGTGCGACTAATTCACAATGTCCAGAACATGAGCTAACAAACCCCACTTCCCACATATACGGGTGTTTGTTGAGGATCGTCCTGCTTATATGTTTTCAAGGAGCAGACAAGAAGAAACTAAGGGCCCCTTCTGAAGTATGCCTGTGCCATGATATAACCCCGTGGGTCATGGTGATGGTTTCCTAAAAACCAATTGGCAGGAACGCTATCGAATGGTCTGAGTTCTGGATTGAGGGCTCTCTGAGCGGAGCCCGAGTATCGAGTTTCCGACCGAGCGCTCGCGCCACTTGGCCCACACATCGCGAAGGATGGCTTCCTTGAAGCCGCGGTCTTGAACCCACAAAAGCCACTGGCAAAATTGTTTGTTCCATTGGCAAATTGGTAGCCCTCCATGTTTCTCCCAAATGAGCCGTGGATCACGTACTGGAAACTCTGATCAAGCCTCATGTAGGTCAGAACCATGTTTATAACTTCTCGCCGCACACTCCTCAGGCTCCCCATTCAGGGACCCTTCTTTTCAGAAAATTGGGCAGACCTGCAAACGAGCGGTTTCTGAACGAAGACTCTGCGAGAAAGAACGGGGAATGAACCCTTTGAAAACTGGGACTATTGGAGGTAGTTCTCTGGCATTGGATATAACCGTCTTACTCATAGTCCAAAAAGATATGTTCAGATCCTGGTTTGTACCCTGAAACAAAGACCAACGTCTGGAAGAGACCCCAGAAAAGCGACGTGAAAAATATAAAACGGGCTTCGTTTTTCAGGCTGGCATTGCCCCTGCCATTCAAGCATCCACTTAGATGGGTGTGGCTCAAAATTAAACAGGAGGGGTTACGCGGGTTTTGCTCCATGTTTAGTATGTACCAGGGTTCCATTTTGGTACCGGTTTTTTGATCCACAGCCAGATGTTGAACTCACGAAATGAGCCATCAAATTGACTCTCCCATCCAGATCGGCTGATCACTTGCGACCTGCTAATCACTTGCGACCTCGGCAATCACCAGCGACCCGCAAATCTAATCACTTGCGACCTGAGGGTGGTGGGGGGGAGGGGGCTCCAGATCCCTATGAGATGTTTCAGTCTGGGGGTTGCTTTAAATATGTTGTCCAAGGCATCCCTCAAACAGTCAAACATGAGCTGATTTGAAGGAGTATCATGAATGTGTTTGTCTATTGTGGATACCTGCGGCTACTTCTTGTAAACCTGTGGCAATGCCCTGCTTATCGTATTGGGTTGAGCATCCAAAGGCATTGAAAGGACACCTTGTCCCATATCTGGGGTACGCAGCAAATCTTATTATTTGACTCTGTTCCATATTTGTCTACCCGAAGATACATTTGGAGGAGACACCAGCTTTGTTGCTGTCTCTAAGAAGAACACCAATGGCAATAATGGGGGCACAGAGATGCTTCAAGCATTGAAAACATGAAAAGCAAGAGTTTAGTCTTCACCAACATCCCGGTGCTAACAAGGGATCCGCTCAGAAAGGCCTTAGTAAGGCTCCGTAGGATCCAATCTGTAGAATGCAACAAGAACCTATCTCGGCGTTTGTTCGTCCATCAAAGAACCATGTCTTGCCCAAGACGTTCCCTTGGTATGCAATACCCAGCCCTGCATGAGGGCATGCATTAATGATGTATTTGCCTATGATGAACCTATATCTGTATATATGTATATGCATTTGTTTACTTATGTATTCCGTGTATACAACACACACATATATATATACAATGAATCTATGATATAACATGCTATATCGATGTTGGGCATCCTTCTGATCCCGACCAAAATAGTTTCTCTTCTGCAAGTGGTCACATGGAACGCAATGTTTTTCAAGGGCCTTCCCAAGTCTGTCTACACATCTGGGCACATTGCTATCATTCACAACCTGGCCATGAGGGATCCCCGTCATCATGGGGTCTGAGATCGCTTTACAAAATGGGTGGTCTCGTTGTAACTATCTATGCTGTGTCCATGTTCATCTCAGAAGTCCAGTAAGGAAGGAAAACAAGGGCCTTTAAATTTAGTTTGTCGACTTTAAAGGACACCCCTTCCAAGCAAAGGCGGCTTCGTTCCCTTTAACATCCTTTAAACACTACCTGCAAAGGAGCACCCTCCAAGAAACACACACCCTTATGTGAATGTCTCATTTTCAGGGTACCCTTTGTTGTTGTTCCCAAAAGAAACCAACGGTAAGCTGCGCCTCCCCATCTGTCCCGAGCCAGCCTTCCTGCCCTCCCGCCGAGGATCGGTGACGGAGATCTCCTTCAACCTCGCTTTGAGCTTCTCCTGCTCCTTGTTCCTAACGCAGTCCAAATGGACCAAGGCAAACATATTTCCAATCAAAGGTTGGTGGTATCCCATGATGTTAAACCGCCCCTTTGAGAGAGAAGTCAGAGTTCCCTATGTTTGCCTTTAAAGCAGCTTACAATATCACTACCAAGGAACTCACCTCAAACCAGCCAAACCGGTAAATATATGTCCAATCCAACTAGTCGTTTGTTTGACATGGAGACTCCCCATATTACCCCCGTCCCCGATGTATACGTCGCTCATGGCCGGCCGCTCCCAGCCATACCCTTTGGACCGGCTCCGGCCCCTTCCGACGCTGCCCCACCCCGCGCCTCGCGATCTTCTCCGCCGCCTCCGCCAGGCGCCGCTTCGTGGCTAAGAGCTTCTCGCGCCTCGAGAGCCGCCGGGGAGAGCCGGGCGTCAATCGCGGCAGAGAGGCTGAACCGCCGAACCGGGCACCGTGCGACTGACTTTGCGTTTGGAGGGTTGGACAAATGCTGAGGTCTGACTGAATTACAGCAGCTACAACCGCAACCACGACCAGAAGAACCACAAGAACTGCAGGCAGGAACTGCAAGAACCGCAAGAACCACAAGAACCACAGGAACCACAACAAACACGACAAACACAACATCCACAAGAAACACAACAACCATATGCGACAACAAACACAACAACCATAAGAGTCACAACAAAAACAATAAACGCAGCAACCAAATCAAACACACCAAGTATAATCAATAACATAACAACCACAACATCCACAACAAAACCAACAAAAACAGCAACGACAAGAACCACAAGAACCAAAACCAAGACAACAACTACAACCACAACAACGGTTGTTGGGCCCCTGCCTCGAGTGCGCAAAGCTGGTATTGACAACCCACACCGAGCCCGGCGCTCAATGGCCTTGAGCGTCTTCAATGCCTTTCTGGGAGGTCGTGCACGCCATACCGCCTGACAGGGCCGGGGGCCCAGCAGAGGAGGGGGTAAGTGGTGGAAAGCTTGATCAATGATGGGTGGGGGGTAAAGGGGCAACGGGGTAACAACAACTCGTTCAGGGGTATTGACAATGTCAATGGGTAAAGGAAAGGGTTCATGGGGGGTAAATGGGTGAATGCCCAAGTTTAGGACAAACCGTTCTTTCCCTTCTTTGGCTGCGGCTGCTGGCTTATGGGTGCGCATCATGCATTCTGGTGTGCATCGCTCCGTAATCCGCGACCTACGCAAAGCCACCTGATCTATGTCTGTTGCAAGCGTCTTTGGAGCATATCCACTTGGAAGGAACGAGCCTACACATGTCAGGACGGGGCTCCTTCAGGGAGCATTGCGGACGGGCCACTTTACCAGTGGCCGCCTTTTCTTGAGAGGTCCAGTGATTTGTTCAATGCTCTTGACGCTGACCGAATGTCTGAATGTTCTGAACAGATGTTTTGGCATGAGGGAGACGTGCTGAAGGCCCCGGTGAACTGGGCCCCCTGGTAAAATTGAGTAGAACCAAAGGAAACACCCCCTCCAAACCAATGGCCATGGGGAAACAAGGGCACCTGGGTTCGGTAACTGATTTTGAACGGGCACCCCCCATGCAATCAAATGGGGACCCAAATGGAAAAGCGGGCACCACTGGTTTGGGCTTCTGTGGTGTGTGCCTGTTTCCGTTTTAGGGGCAAATAATATACAGCGCAAGCACTGTCGAAGAAATCTATTGAACTGCGGGGCAGGTGTGCTACAAAGGCCACTAGAAAGTTGAGCCCTCTGAATTTCTTAGCACAGGAGTCCCTCAGCACCCGAAAGGCCGCAAGAAATTGAGCCACTGGAATTTTCTAGCGAGCACTTCCCTGAGGTCAAAACATCCCTGATGGTCAAAACATGTTGTTTTTTTTGTTGAAGTTTGCTAAGATATTGGACGAAAAGTCCAAGGGGGCTCACTTTCTTAGCACATGCAGTTGCAACCTATATACTTGATTTGGCAAGCTCAGCCCCTCAATTTCTGAGACAATTGCCTTGGCTCCGTCCCCAGCGCGCGGATTTTAACGGGTTGAAATTGAGCCGATGGTCAGAACAGGGGACCGAAGAGGCCGCTCAGAAATTGAGCCTGCGAAGTGCTTGGCAAAGGAGTCCTTCATCTCCCGAAAAGGCCGCCAAGAAATTGCAGAAATTGGCCAGGAATTCAGTCCCCCTGGCTCCGGAGAGTAAAAACCAGCCCTTTTGAAGACGACACGGACGGTAAGAAATTCAGCCCCCCTGGGCCTCAACCAACCGATTTCTTAAACAGCGTTCGCGCTGTAGTTGTTGTGGGCAATGTCCCTTCTATTCACTTAACCGTACATCGCCGCCCTCATGCACAAGGTACACACAAAATATATCCACTTGAAGCAATGCAGTCAGCGAAAGCAAGCAAGTTGCAATGCCGTCAGCAACCAAAGAACATTCTCTCCGCTCCACTTTAAGTGGCATTTAGTCAGCAAACATAAAGCAATGTCCCTGCCTGCACGAACCTAGCAGCCTCGGTCATCATGAGCCGCTGCAGAAGCTCCCGAACCTTCTCCACCTCATCCTTGCCTTGGCTTTGAGCGCATCTGGCCAAGGCTTCTCCAGTTTTGACCCCATCGGAGTAGCACCAGTTTTGTAGCCTTGGGGTTGTGGGGAACCCACAAACAAAAAAGGAAACTGGTTGCCACTAAAAAACTCAAAGACTTGTGAAGGTTTCAATCCACTCACAAAACGGAGCAAACCGAGCCTGGCCAGCGGGTACCCTTCTCGCCCCAGAAACCGTCCAACTGGCGGTTTCCTTGGAGATCCATTCCGGTTCACTCCCAAAACCCTTGGTGACTCCCTGGTCCCTCGGCCCTGAGAACCACTCTAAGCCGAGGTACGAGCTTTGCCGTCCAGCTTCGCGTTCTGGGCGAAGAAGCGGCGCGGGTTCAACTTCGGATCCCCCTTGCCCTTCCTCAGCCGAGGCTTCCTCACGAACAACCTATCACTGGCCTATCACGCTGGTTCTTGTCAAAACCCACTGGCTAAGAAGACCCACAGGTCGGCAGCGCCCTTTGACTTGCCGTTGTCCTAAGACGGTAATAAAGGCCTTAGAAACACAGGCAACCAGAAGAGCACAATCCAAAACTGGCCAAGGGGTCGGGCGCCTACTCCTTGGCGGCCCTTCACGTGTGCTTTGGGCTGTTCTGTTTCTGCCTGAAACTGCGGTGTCGGGCTCTGTAACAAAATAACGCTTCCAAGGCGCATCAGGCGCTCAGCCTCGTCCGCCATCGCGCGCTCGCGCTCCGCACGCTCCCTCGGTGACAAGCCGCAAGCGACGCATGAGATTCGGGTGTGGGGCGGTGCAGGTCTTTTTGAAGGTGCCCTCCCACCAACGTCCTTGGACGTTGAAGCTAAGTAGGGTTGAACTTGAGGAAACCCATCCCCTGTGTCACAACTTGCAACCAACAACTCTGCACATTTATAATAAATCGAAACCAACAATTCTGCGCGAAGCCTCCTGTCCAAAGTCTCGCAAGAGGGCTCGAACGGGTAGGAGCAGTCCGGATGGTCGGGGGGTAGCCCCACCATCTCACTTGAAAGCTCTGGAGATCAAAATCCTCGTTGGGAACTGATCTTCCAGGTTCCCAACCCTCAGGAAGGAGGTGTCTTTTGTTTGCTGGGCTGTCCAAACCTTTAACTTATGGGTTAAAACGAAACCCAACCAGCTCATCCGCATCGCCCGATTTCTGGCCTCTCGGCCGCTTCACGCTGCTCCCTCATCTCTGCTTCCATCTGATCCTGGATCCTTTGCATTTCCTCCTGCCAGGTCTTTTGCACATTGGGTGTCTATGTTTGATGCTAACGGAGAGCCACCTTTTTTGGGGGTTGCTAAGTTTTGAGGCACACCCATTGCCTTGCTGAGTCGATGTGGTTATGCAAGTAACCCGAAAGCCACGGCTAAACCAGCCGCACATCTAGCATAAATCAGCCCCAACCAAGCCAAAACCGACCCAAAGTCAACCTTAAACCCTCCCAACCGCATCCTGCATATCACCCCTTTGCCAAGCCTACATGAACCCCAAACAAGCCCAAGACCCGCCCTACACCGGAAATGCTGGGGATGCTGGGGATGCGACTGCCCAGCCAACCAACCAACCAACCAACCAACCAACCAACCAGCCTCCTAGCCGGGGTTAAGCCCCGAGCCGGGGCTAGTAAAAAAAAACAAGAACAAAAAAAAACACACCGGTTCCCTCCACCAGAGCTACCCCAAAAGGCGATGACATCCAGGGAGGGGTGAACATGCTTTCTAACCCCTGGCATGTTGAAATCAACATAACAAGCAAACAACGACATGAAGACTACAAATCCATGCCAAGGACCTGGAGAAAAAAGCCTCCCGTCCGCCGGAATTGGCAAGTGGCTCTCGCAGGATTTCGAATTGAAAGGGACCCCCCGTAATGTTAGGAAGACCACACAAAAAAGATCTCGTGTTTGATGTCAAGTTGGGATGCTTGCCCAACATGGCCCTCCAAAAGGAAGTCCATTGGAAGGTCTGAGGGTGGAACACCAAAATCCCGTGTCCATGTGTTTAGAGGAATCTCCGTTGTCTGCGTTCCATGTCAATTTTGACTTGCACGCCTGAGCTTAATTGGTTCGCTTTTTCAGAAGCCTATACACACAAAGACATGATACCACGGGACAAACACCAATCGCCAGTCACACACCAACCTAGCCGTACAGGACGCCTTTTGGGAGGTCCTGGGATTTGTACCCTTGGCCCCCGCATCGGTTTAGCGAGCCACTGAGTTGGTGCAACGTCATGACCCGAGCGCTTGCGCGCTCTCGCTCCCTCCTTGTGCCTGGCATATCGCGGTGCAAAACTATGTAACCGATCGGCGCTTGCCCGGCGTGAGTCGAAGCCGTGGCTTGGCGTCTGAACCCCAGGCTCTCCGGTTTTGTTTCGCAAAAACCAAGGCCTCGACAAAAAAATATTTGCTCGTATGCATCCCTGAGATTCCCAGGAACAAATTGGAGTCTCCCTTTCTCCTTCAAGAGAAGTTTCCCATCCTATCACGGTCACTGCCCTCAGAGCACTGGCAAATGGGGGGTGCCGTTGTCAGCCCCTGGTTGGGCCAGAAAGCCGGTGTCACCGAGGTGTTAACGGCGGTCAGCCGGCGAAAAGGGGGTTCAATTGCTTCATAGTTTTACCAAAGTCACACCGGAAGACTGGTCTACTGGTTCTCAAAGACAGGGATGTTGGACATGGACGGCTCTTCCTTAGCTGCCAAAAAACACCTGGAAAGGGGTAGCTGTTGGGACCAAAAAGTCACAAGTTCCACTTGTCGGCAACACAGGCACACGTGGGGTTTCTGTTGGTACCTTCATGGGACGCAAAGCCCTGGGTTGAGATCGGTCTCACACTCTGTGCCGTGGGGGCAAGAGGCAACTCAAAGCAAGAGGCACCCAGCTCCCCCCTCCTTTGGTTCAAGCCTTGGGGGTATTGGGACTCCACGGACAAAAGCTTCCCTTTCGGCTGAGTCTGCCTCATGCCCAACCACTCCTTGCTGTGCAAACGAAGCGTGCCACAAGTTGGCAAGCAAATAAGTCGCGAGTGAGACCTTGCGCTTGGCGCGGGTTGGAAAACATGGTGGCTCGCCGTGACACCGGCTTGAGCTCAACTATGTGCCCATGGAACTGGTGATAAATCGTGTCGCCAAATGCAGGGTTCCAAAAAGGGTACCGTACTGTCGACAAATGTGGGTCCAGGATGGGTTTGGGCTGGAAAGGTTTACTGGTGATCAACGGGTCGGGGTTTTGGGTGCGTTGTCGGGAGGGGGGTTTAGGAGGGGATTCAAGACGTTTTTGGGGTTGCTTGGTTGCTTGCTTGGTTGCTTGCTTGGTTGCTTGCTTGGTTGGTGGCTTGGTTGGTGGCTTGGTTGGTGGCTTGGTTGGTTCCTTGCGGATGGCAACAAACAATAGACTCAAACAATATCGCACCCGGATCTGAGCCCGAAGAAGGTTTCTAGAATTAACATTCTGCCATGATGGTTCATGTGTCCAAGTAGACTCTGAATGATTGCTTTCATGTCGGTGTCCTCTTCAAACCCCCACTTAAGCAGCCAGTATATTTTCCAGTCACTACCATTTCCCTTTAGCAGAGGCAAACCTCAACCAACAACTCCAGGCATCGGACAGCATCCAAGACGTGTTGAATTGGGAATCTGTTCCGAGATGATCTCTGAGTCATCTCCACGGTATGTGAGGGGATTTGCGCAGAGCACATGTAGGGTGTTCCCTCCAGGCTGAAAGTTCTCACTTGTCCAAGAGATCTGGAAACTGGGCCATTGCACAGCCATAAATACGTAAGAGGTGGGAGGTGGCCTGGTGGCCTGGTGGTGCTTTGGACAAGTGAGTGCAGAAAGCCCGAGTACACCTCCGGAATGCTTCAGGAGAGCGCAAGCGATGCCTCCTTTCTCGCCTTGCGTGCAGCCAGGCATGCGTGCATCCTGTGGTGAACGCAACCCAGTTGTTCAGTGACCCTGGTAGCAAAAGAACCCTTTTGGGGTGAATTATGCTGTCTATTTTTGGTGGGGAAGCCATCAAACATAAGGAAAAAGGGTGCCACTGAACAACTGGGATAATGTCAACAGCTGATTGCATGAACCCGCGAGGGCTTCATACTCAGTAGTTTGGTAACCCGTAAACTTGCGGTAGCAGGTCATGTATGGACATTTTACACATTTACCCCGTTGTAGGGGCGTCAACAAAAAGCCACCTTCCCAGATTGCGATTCACCAAAAGTGGAAATCTGGAATCCCTGAAGGGACCTTCAACACGGGTGAGCCGATTCAGGCCCTGCAGTTCGCCTTTTTCTCAGACGCCTAGCAAAAAGTTGCCTTGCTGCTCGGGCAACATTATGGAAAAACGTGAAAAGGTCAGTGAAGTCTGGCAATGAATTAAGGAGGACCTCAGCTGATGAGACTATATTTGCTCTTGGTCAGCTCCTTGCTTCTTTCTTGACATTCTGGGACTCCTGCAAACATGTTACATGCACCTGGCCCCATGTTTTCGAGTTCCAAGTCTACCCAAAAGGAAATTATGTTCAAAGGACACCAGTTGTTGACCTTCCCGGGAAATGACATGCATTGTTGACCCTCCGCGGACAAGAACCGACAAGCTGGTGTCCATGTCGAAACCGAGCTTTACGTGCAGTGATGTCAAAACTGACTTTGACCTACTCCACTTGGGTGTTCAACCCGTGAAGTAGGCTATAACCATAGGGAACTATATAACCCAGGACTCCTCAGTGACTCCTCGGTGACCCCCCAATGGACAGATTTGAAGGGAACATGGATTGATCCACAGGCTCGTGCCTTGTACCAGTGCGCTGCCCTGACTCCGCCGTATGCGCCTTTTCGGCACGGGAATGGGGGGTTTGGGAGTGCCTGTGAAATGACAAAACCCGGAGGAGCGCAAAACAAACACGTCAATCTGATTCACAAACCAACAATGCCCGGAATCCCTATGCATCGGGGTGCAAATCCCGGAAGGTGATATGGCCAAAAAATGTGCAGACTGGAGGGGGCACCTTAGATGGACAACAGCATGCAACGGCCAAGTTCGCGGGAACAGGAATCCCTGCCTTTGCTACTCATCCATGTTTTCCTATGCATCCTTCCTTCCCTGCAACTGTTCTACACGGGATTTGATGGACGCTTTCACCGTCCCAAAGGACCCAGAAATAGTACAATGTGAACCTGATGTTGCTTTGGCACAAAAAGAGAGCACATACTGGGAAGCTAACACGTCGGTTGCGGTTGATGGATTTCATCAACTGAGCAAGGTCGACCCCGGATTCATAGTAAACCTGACACATTCACCAGAAAGCAAAATATTCCATCTGAATGGGACCCCCTCACCAGGGGGGTATTCATCCTTGGTGCGCCCATCATGTTAATGGCGTAGAATAAATCCTGACATCCTGTTTGGGACCAGCTTAAAAGGCAACACCAACATGTCGCAGGGGTTCGCTTGTGGGGCACCCTGTCCTTGGCCTGTCTTGCCTAGGTTTTGACACCGCCCCGACCGGGTCTACCGTTGGGCCTCATGTGCTGAATGCACGAACCTGCAAATCCTCCTCGTATGAACTCCTGGTTCACTGGTGAATCGGCCGACAGCTGAAACATGGGAAGCCAGCCTCCAAAGGGCTCCGTAAATGGCAACATGGAGCCACGGGTTTATACTTATACAGTACTCGAAGGGGATCTATGTTACCTCCAAATTGTTTGCCGGGACCCCCCTATTGCGCTCGTTTCCGATTCCGTGTCGGCTTCGTACAACTTGGAAAATGCGGCAGTCATTGGTAACATGTTTCAGCTACTAGCTGACGGGATATCAGCCCATCTTCCAAAGGTCCCCCCTCCTAATTTTTAGCGACAAAACCCACTGGTCATGCTCCGAATTGACCTCCAGTGGATTTCCACACAGAAAGGTGCGCCCCTGTTTTTGTAGTTGACTTCAAACATAACCCCTCCTCCAGATTTGCCTTTAAAAACACAAATGGCAGTGCAGAGTTGGTTGACTTCCTCAAACGGAGAACTCCTGGGCCCCCATGTAGCCCAGATCCCTCTTACCAGTGCAATATGTTACCCGCAAAACAAAGCTGAACAATGTGGCGCTGGAGGAGCTTGGCCAAAACAAGTCCAGCTGTCCAGCTTTTCTGTTCGCCAGAATTGTCTTCCGGTCCAAACAATCGACATCCTCCCCACACGCCGGTTTTTCGGCACGCCTGTGCTGCCGCCCATGACGCTGCCGGT